CGGAAATCAAAGGGGAAAGGAACAAAACTTTCTGGGACCGCGGGAATAAAACCCAAGGCGCGTAACCCTCAGACCCGCATTGCCAATACAACTACTTCCGGTATGAACCGGAAGTTACATACAGAAGCCACGACACCAGGCCAAGCTGGAGGTGAGAAGACTAAAATGAAAACAAGAAGTCAAGACGGCAGAAAAAATGTGAAAATGCAGAATTCTAAAGACACGAAACTGACCACGAACTTTAAAACAAAATAAGTCTGTGATCCTTTGTTTTATTTTAGTAAGCACTTTGATTTTCTTTGTGTTTGAAATGTACTACCCCAAATGTAAATACTAAAACAGTGGGTATGTAAGTATTACAAGAAAGTTTCAGCCATCGCATTTGAAGTCGTACAAAGTTTTGGTGTGCAAGCGGTATCAGTACTGCGTTAACCCAAGATTAAACTGGGTTTTTTTACCGTAATCTATGGTGAGGAGTTGCGATAGGTGATCACTGTATAAGCTCAACTCGTGGTTTTTCTTACCTCACATTCTATTCGACGCCGCGCTGTCTCCAGAATTCAGTTGCGTACACATAATTTTTATATCTGATTCATCGCTAAGATTGATTAATATATTTTAAAATATACATATTTTTGAAGATATTATTACCTGTTTTATATCCCATCGATATGCATTTTTATAACTATTTTTAATTTCTGAGCATAAACGAGGCCATGCAGAGGAATTGTCTTCAGTATATCAACAAAGTGACTCTATTGATTTAGCCACCATCTTCAAACATTCGTCCTGTAGGTGTCGTGTTCTGCTGGGGTCAAGGCAACAATGTGAAGTCTGCATCCTTAGGCAAAGGTATGATAACCTTGAGATTCGAAATCACACTGTCAGAGCGAGGCACCTAGTCCCCAGCACACAATACAGCGCTCTAACCCACTAGACTGAACACAGTCTGGGAACTCTAGATCAGGTGCTCTGCACGTATACCTAAATAATTCTGACGTGTATGTTTTTATTGTGGTTGTTCGGTGCCATTAAACAGTTTGTTGGTTTGTTGGGTTACAAGTGAGTAAGTATGGTTTTAGGCTGCTTTTAGCAATATTCCAGCAGACCCTTGTAACCAGGCTGTGTAAATGATCAGTTGGGATTAGGTCTATTTGATCAACCTCAATATGTCAGAAATGTATAAAATATACGAAATACGTCAACAGGGACGACAGCAGCAACATCATTATCTTCACAATGAAACCCTAGATTGAATGGTCAGTAAATTACCGAACAAAAGAAAACATTCCCTCGCTTTTGTTGATGGCTAAACTAAAACAAACAAGAAATGGTTATTTGACGATCATGTATTGGATAGGGGTGTCATGATTGTGCATGTGTGCCCTAATTTTAAAGTGGTTTGGCGACTGTTTTAGCCAAGTTACATTTTGATAACGTTGTTTTTGGTCAAATCCATTTTTAGTATATATTTTCAGGGGTGGAAATATAACTTTAAAATTGCTAGTGTACTCCGGAACAGTGGCACATGTAAAATCACTTGCCCTGATAATTTTCCACTATACCGGCCGTTTTCTTGTTGATTTTTAAAATAAACAACATAATTAACATTGGAAAGTCAACTGGACACCGGTACAGTGTGATATACAAATTTACTTGTCCACAGAAAAAAACACTGGACTCGGACGTCGGGCAATGGGTTATTTCCATCCCTGATTTTCTTTTGTCCGGTAGTTTCTGTTTACTTACTTAATGAAGTACTTATGAAATATACTCAACACAAAAGTTAAGGACCACCCCGATTTTCAATATTAAAGTATTTAATAGTTTATATTATGATCCATATGATATTTAAATATTGAATATTGGGGTGGTCCTTAACTTATTGGGTTGAGTATAGATTTCTATATTAGTTGTACATATAGTGAAATAGTATCAGATTGTATCAGAACTGGTATCCCGAAAATGGACAAAAAATCCAATTGCATCTGGACTGAATAATGTGGAAAGGCAAGTCAATACCATACAGGCTGTCCCGGCAAAAATATACTATCCCCAAAAGAAACGCATCGGCGTTTTGTATTTTTAAAATCTATTAATTACCTATTGTGTTCAAACAATCGTCAAAATATGTAATAAAAGTGTTGATAACATGATTTTACACAATTGCACAAGTAAAAGTTCGACTTTACCCGAAAATGTTGATTTTGATGAGATTTCTTACAAGGATTAAAATCGCCACAACGCAACAGAAATCACCTTCCAGTTGAAATTGTGCAGCAAAGAGCATGCACTGTCTGGCTATAAAAAGCCAGAATACTAGTACTTTCGGAAATCGGCATTCGTATTGAAGGAGTTTCAAGCTCAAATCACTACACCACGTCTTGACGCTGCGACACGGAACATCGCCATTGAAAGAATACACGCTGGAGATTACCAATCTTCTGTTGCCAGGCGTCTGAATGTTAGTCTGAGCACGATATCAGGCAGACCTCAAACAGGTATAACAAATGACCGACCTCGTGTCACCACTGCAGCCCAAGATCGGTACATCCGGGTACTACATTTGCGTGATCGTACTGCCACGGGTGAGAGCACAGCAGCCAGGGTGCCTGGACTTCAGAGGATATCCGGTCAAACTGCACGGAACAGGTTGAGAGAGATTGGTCTGAGAGCCAGGAGACCCGACGTCGGGACCATGCTACATCGTCACCATTGCGCTCAACGTCTCCGTTATCTAAAATTATCCACTTGCTTGTATAGACATTACCTTCTTCATTCTATTGCATTTGTGGACGAGGTATACATGTTTGAAAATACAACATTTTCGCAACAAATTTCTGGCCTATGCGTTTCTTTTTTGGGATAGTATATTTCCTCCCTCGTTTGATGATTCGTAATACTCTCGCATGAATTACTGTCGTACCAAATATGATAAACGGGCACATTTTGTCAGAACGTTAAAACCTGCATATTTGAGAAATATACATATTACATTTCATTGTCCACCGATAGCAGGTAAAAATCATCTGTTACTCATCTGTTACTCGACATGTGACTCACGTCAATGGAAAGCAGATTGGAAAAATTCATCACTTCAAGTACATATATTTTCAGTAGACGACTTTAGTTATGTAAAATAGCGTGACGACATGCTCATGTAAAAATAATATATAAAAAGATAAAAAATGGTATTTTTGCCCTGCCATGTAACATATCAAGGAATCATGGAGTTCAAACTTACTGCAGCGCCATGTTTGGAAAGGTACTTCACCGGTAGAGCTGTCACTCGTCTTAATCATAATTAATGCTTCATTCGAATTCAAGATCAGGTGAATGAGTACACTATCTTTCATTGTCAAACTTTTTGTATCGATTTCTTTTGAAAAATATTTTGTCTTAAAGCGTGTAACCTAAGAAGTAAAATGTTTGATAGCCTTCACCGACTAATCCAATGTCGCATTCTGACGTCAAAGGGTGACGTTTGTTAGGAACTATAAATCAAACGTTTAAAAACGATACTTATATCGCATGCTTTGCCGCGAACATGGCTGCGCTTGGTGAGAGGTAACAATGCATTTTCCTGAACGTGTAGACATTTTACATATGAAATAAACTGCCGAGCAAAAAAGGTTATACACTGGAGTGAGTGAGTGAGTATGGTTTTACGCCTCTTTTAGCAATATTCCTGCAACATCACGGAGGAGGACACCAGAAATGGGCTTCACACATTGTACCCATGTGGGGAATCGAACCCGGGTCTTTGGCGTGACGAGCGAACGCTTTAACCACCAGGCTACCCCACCGCCCCTTATACACTGGAAAGTTGGATCTGACCCAAGAGTGAGTGAGTGAGTGAGTTCGGTTTTACGCCGCTTTTTAAAAAATATTCCAGCAATATCACGGCGAGGGAACACCAGAAATGGGCTTCACACACTGTACCCATGTGAGGAATTGAACCCGGGCATTCGGCGTGACGAGCGAGCGCTTTAACCACTAGGATACCCCACCGCCCCTTACCAAAGACGTAAATACTAAATATACATGTGTATACGTCTTTGATCTGACGAAAATACGTACAGACGTTATCAAAACGGTATCAAGCCGGAAACATTACAGCTTTAACCCCTGGATGCCGAGGGTTTTATGGCGTACATTTCATATGATCTGCAAAGTGAACGTTGTGCAAGAACTGCGTTCACTCGTCACTAAATCTACTTACGATTATAAAATTACAGTCTTTTAGAATATTAAATTTCCTATCCGATGAAGTACATCCAAGCACAAATAATTAGACTGTTTGAAAAGTAGACATTGTTAAATGCTGTCCGCGATTTCATAATGTGTTAAAAAAGACGCTATGTACTATGTACCCATTTTTTTAGAGGTTATTTTCAGTACTTTCGTTTGCCTCAGATGAAAACATTTCGACTTCAAAGTGAGGGTTGAAGAGGAAGGACATATATATCCCTCTGGCATCCAGGGTGTTTCAGTCCACAAAACATCTATGATACCCGTATAAAAAATCACCATCAAATACCTTTCTTTTTTTCTTTCTTTTTAAATTTTTTTAGCAACCATAACAGACAAGGGTCGATACTATCTTATTTCGAAGCAGTGATAAACAAGATGTATTTCGTTAACTGGGTACGATTTGACGTGACAATGACAGGGTTGGCCGAACTGAATTCTGGGAAAGAGATGACTGTTTTACCGTTGCGGTGAAATGTAAACATTCGAACATATGCAAAATGGAATATCTTTACGGTGAGTACTCATTCAGTGGCCCAATGGGAATTGTTAAAGAAAAATGAAAGAGAGTTGAAAAAGTGTCGACCAAAAAGATACATTGTCGCAAGATGTGTTCTGGGGAAAAAGCTATTTCGTCAGAGTAGTTTCGAATGCTGACCCGAGGTTTTGTTTTCCATATCCCATGGCATTGTTCGAGGCTATTGCGACGTCATTGCATTATGACGTCATTTGTTATGTATGACGTCACATTGTGTCACTTCGCCTCCTGCAACGTTATGTCGAGGAAGAATGTCGATACTCACCATAAACTTAATCGTTGTGAACACCGAGTATAGTGAGAGTGATGGATGTTGCTGTAGGCCACAGCCATGAGTCGGAATGTAGTAACATGTCATTCCATGACGCTAGAGATGTCATACTTCAGTCGTCAGTCAGAGACAGCGACGGCGGAAGCTACAACGACTACGATGAAAGCTGGTAAGGAGGAAGGAACTTTTATGAACTGTCGTTCTAGTTTTTTCTTGGGTTAACTTGTCAAACTGACACAATTTGCTTAGTAACGTAAATCTCTCGGAAAGTTTAAATTAAACTCTTTTCATAGCAGTCTATAAAATGATTCCCCTTTTTGGTGATATGGAGGGCCTGATATCTATTATATTCTAAATATATTTTCTCTTTATTTTATGTCATTGTTGTAACAAGATATCTATTTGATTATTTATGGTGATGTATGTCAGTATGGTGTTTTTCTGTAGATGGTGCAGTAAGCAACATGTGTTTTTCCCTATCCAAATTAACCAGCGAATGTCTTCTATATGCCAGAATATAGTACAAAATATGGAAATATTGTAGAAGTAGTCGGGGAATGGTAGTGTAGCGTAGTGGTTAAAGCTACGGGTAAACTGCACTTTACGGGTCCCCGGAAGTTTAAGCTACAGACATGCGCAGAAGCCATATTTAAATCGAAGCGAGCACTAACTCTTACGACTATACTGACCGAAGACCATTCTCAAAACGTTCGTATCCCTAAGAATTCTTAACTTTGATCGTAGCCAATGTGTTAAGAATGGGCTTAATAAGTTTGTTGGGCTACGAACGTTTCGAGAATAGCTGGCGAGGGTTCAATCAAAACAGACAATACAACTTAGCATATCTACACTGCACTGTACTGGGTAACCGTTTTGCCTTACTAAAAATAGGTACTGCCATCATATGTGATTTCTGCACAACATGACACCTGAATCAATCATCATACTTGCCTCCTACATCAATCATCATACCTGCCTCCTACATTTCTTTCCTTCATTTACAAAGCCCGTGACAAATCAACTAAATAATCGGTAAGACTACAGAATACCGGATACCTTCCGCCATCTTTGAAAGCACGCGAGTTTACTTAGGGTTAGGGAAATGTTTAGGTTTAGGGTTAGGTTTAGGATTAGGGTCAGCGTTGGGGTTCGGGTGACGTGACACTAAACAATATGGCTGGTAGGTATCCAGTATTCTGTAGGTGTACCTCTCTTTTGATTGTATACTGAAAGTCGACATTGCTTCATTCTCTAACCAGCAAGGAACATTATACAGCTTCATGTTTTTATTGCGGAAAACTGTTGTGGGAGGCTCTTTAAAAACCTCATTATTGGATCATGAGTAGAGAACACATGCTCGCAAAGATACAGTCTCACTTCACAAACGTTGACAAACGCATAGTAATCGCAGAGTTCTATGGGACTGGTCGGTTGGTCAGAGCCAGTTAGGGGGGTTACTACAAATATGTGGTCCCAAGGCGAGAGTCAAGAAAAATAGTTTACATATTCATGAGCGTCGAGACAAAAATCATTATTTTAGAACACAATGTGAAGTGCTTTTGTATGTTGTATTGTCAAGGAGGGATGTGAACATATACCTTGATATTAAGCTGGTAATCAAGTGACAAGTCACAAGGGAGGGCCATCGTTGTCTGTACGTTTTAGATCCAAACCTCTGATCCTACCTACCTACCCCTGTAATACATGGCCGGTCCTTAACCTCCAGGTACCCGTTATAATTGGTCTTCAGTAACCCATGCTTGTCGTATGAGGTGACTAACGGGATCGGGTGGTCAGGCTTGCTGACTTGGTTGACACATGTCATCGTATCCCAGTTGCGTAGATCGATGATCATGCTGTTGATCACTGGATTGTCCGGTCCAGACTCGATTATTTGCAGATCGCCATATAGCTGGAATATTGCTGAGTGCGGCGTTAAATAAAAAACCAAGCAACTTCAACCTCCTGCAGTTTCTTTTCTGATGCACATTTCTAGAAGGTTTGAAAAGTAGACACTGCTATGTGTTGTCCAAAACTCTAACACCGAATCGCATTATCTATGTTGTGAAGTATGATTTTTAAGTGCACATAGCTACATACCGGGGGTCTTTATTTCACGGCTAATACTGACGATCACGTTGTACCAGGGGAGACTACTCTGACGACTCACGCGGGAAACCCTCCCGACCTCTCCCCAGGCCAAACCCCGTGGTGTTGCTGGTGTTGTTGATGGTGCCGTACGTGGTGTTGTTCTACCACGCTCTGCACGTTGAGGTAGATGTCAACTACGTGCTATGGGTATGTATATGAAATGTATATTGTTATGTCCTTTCAGGACAAAGCAGTTATAAATATAATTTTGATTGTTGTTGTTGCCCGCGCACGCACACGCGCACGCACATGAAAGCATCGTGCGATATGGGTTCCGCTTCACAAAGCTATTCTAAATCCTCTACTTAAACATAGACTTACCACAGTTTTGGTTGTACTTCGTGTTTAGGAAAGAAATACAGAGTTATTCTCCCTTTGCTTAAAGTAGAGGCGGAGACTTTTATGAAAACATTTTAGAGTTATCCGCCTTTTGCTTTAGACCGAGACTGGCACTATCCAAGTAACTACCATTTTATGATAGTGGAGATAAAGAATATATGTGAATCATGACGTCACTGATGACATTTCATGGTTGCAGGACGTTGCTGTCAGCGCCGCCTACATGACGATGTTTGTCCTCAGTCTCCTGAGTGCTGCTAAATGTGAGTCATTAGTGTAACCTGCAGCATATGTTATATCCCGCTGGGTTATAACATGTTATATATACACTGGACAATACTCTGCGTCACCTGTTACTTCACGTCATAAACTGGACGTACTTCTATAAGGACACATTAGATTTGTTCGTCACACTCAGCAATACCCCAGCTATTTGAAAGCGGCTTGTAAACGACCTAGTCTGAATTAGGCAATCCAGTGATTGACATCATGAGCATCGATCTTGATACGATGACCGCATCAGCCAAGTCCACGTGCCTGCCCACTCGATCCCGTTATGATTACGTGTTACTTTCTGGGGCACATGAAATCAGTTATGCACCGAACAACGCTCAACATGAATAAAGCTCTATTGCTGCAGTATTTTGGCCAAAACTGGTAAAAAAAACAGTCTTAGCAACCTCATGTAATTTAGGAAAACAATGCCCCGTATTATAATAACGTCAGACCGCGAGAATAATACTGAAATTTGAACATAAAAACATATTATAGTTTGACCGAAAATTGAAGTCATCCAGCCAGATACCAATTGGCAGTTTTATATTGAGGTAAAATAACGCCTGTGAAAACTACGTTGGAGATTCTTTCCCCGCTAACTTGCACCCTTCACTGTGTAACATGGCTGGTAATAAGGTCAGTGTGCAGGTCGGTGCTCCTACTGTCAACCACTGGTTTGCCTGGTGCAGACTCGATCATTTTCAACTCGTTATGTTAATTCGGGATATTGCTGTCTTGGTCATAAACATAAATCATCATTCACATATTAATATAAAGCACATTTTACAAATGTGTATTGACTACTACTGTTTCACAAAGCGACCTTGGGCTTTCTTTCTGGACTAGCGTAACTCCCATACTTTAACACTGAACTACAACATTCGTCGATCTGTGGAACGGGTTCCAAGCAATCTTAGTACTAGTAATAGATGGTATTTATTTCCTTGAGATCACTTTGTGGAAAACCCGTGAAGATCCGGGTTAGAATTGGTCTTCAGAAACCCATGCCTGTCGTGAGAGGCGACTAACGGGATCGGGTGGTCAGGCTCGCTGACTTGGTTGACACATGTCATCGTATCCCAATTGCGAAGATCGATGCACAGGCTTTTGATCACTGGGTTGTTTGGTCCAGACTGGACTATTTACAGACCGCCGCAATATAGCTGGAATATTGTTGAGTGCGGCGTAAAACAACACACAAACAAAACACTTTGTGGAACGAGGCCCTGAGCGCTGAGACTGTCGGGCTCGTAACTCCAAAACTTACAGTCAAGCCGACGCTTAATAATTTTAATAGCAGTCTACAATTTTAGGATTACCCTACATTTCCAGTCAACTATGAATACATTTCCAATGGAGATATTCCATTTCGCAAGAATATGACAACAATTGGCGTATGTATGATCTGAAACAGCAAGTTATTTGAGTAAGTTACTTCAGAGTAAACATCACATCAGCAATGATGCTGTTATACCGCGATATCAAGTCATAATAACGTGTTGTTTGTGACTCTCCTCTATATACCGCTAGTGTACTACCACCGCCAACGGCTGTTGGAGTGGACGGTGCGGCTGCTGTACTACGCCAACGACGGGCCGTTGCCCGGGTTCCCCCTTGACAACACCCAGCGCTGCATAGGCGTCCAGACCCACAACACCGACTTCAACCACCAGACAGACACCGTCAGAAACAACCACGCTGTCGAGACAAGGAGGATGCGTCGTCACATACTTCAGTTGAGAAAGAAATATAGTTCTAGAGGTGAGGGGTTTAAGTTAGGGCTGTTTGCTTGTTTGTTTAACGTTTGTTTAAGTTCCAGTCATATGACGGTGACTGAACGAGACAATCCAGTGATTGGCATTCTGAGCAACGGACCACGCCGCCGGGTCACGGTGACACACGATCAACAAAACCCATTTTTGTGTTTTTGTTTGTGTTCGTTTGTATTCCAATATTCCAGCAATATGGCGACAGTCTGTAAATAAAAGAGTCTGGACCAAACAATCCAGTGATAAAAAGCATGGGTATCGATCTTTTACATCAAAACTGCTCGCCTAAAACGCACCCAGTGCACCCACTGGTCGTGTCGCGTGAATACACCCGGAGATGGGTATGAGTGCACGTGCAATGCGAGGTAGTTTCGAAGCACATGTTAGTTCCACTGCGCAACACGAATTGAGACTAATTCCTTCTTACTAGATGTGTTTCTTTGTTAAATAAACTCAAAGTATTCTTTGTTGGTTCCCAGTGAAGAAGCTGAAGGACTTTGCCAAGGAACGGAACATGATCTTGTCGCGGCTGCAGCTGAAGTTCCCTGAAGTTGAGCACGAGAAGGAGACTCTAGTCGCTGAAAGGGACGCCATTGAGAAACAGCTAGAAGAGGAGAAACGACGGAACAAAGAGCTGATTGGTCGGTTCCAAAGGATCAACCAACAGTTCGGCAGACTCGGACATGCGCAATACCCACCTCCGCTAATGTCGCTGGACTGTTACAAATAAGGAACGTTTCAGTTTTATAGCGATGTCAATAAAAAAGTAAAACAATGACATGAAAACAAACGAAATATGTTTCAGTCGGAACGCACAATGACTGAACTTACACCGATGTTCTTAATACACTGAAGGGCAAAATAAGCTCCCCACTAATTTTGAATGTCAGTGAAAGAAACTCAAAGGCAAAAATAGTTGTGAAACCAGTGTATAAAAATATTTAATGTTTCATAATATGATAATATCTAGACATTAAACCAAAGAAGCTATGAAAATATATGAAATAAAGATTGAACTCAGATGGGGTCGATCAAAAGGTTTAGAAATAACAAATTTTGTAGAGGTCCAAATGTTCTTCCGTTAAGGATTTTCTATTGCCAAATATCGCGTGTGTCTTCCTTGCAAAAAGCCATGCATTGTTCCAGTTGATTTCTGGAGGGAATTCATGTGGGTGTTGACTGTTTCTAAGTTGTCTGCCCACGTGTCCTCACAAGTATTCAGTTGGGGAACATTCCGACCATTGCAGAACCCGAACATTGTGGTTGCCAAGGTAACCCTGAGTAATTCGTATGTCACCTGGCATAGTCCCGCTGTAGGATGGTTACCTGTAACTGTGGACGTAAGAATGGTAATATCGCTGTTTGAAGCACTTGTCTCAGAACCTTTGTGCGATTAGGTTGCCGTTTATGATCACGAGGCGTGTTTTCTGAGCACCGTAAATTACCCCCATATCATAACACCACCTCGTCCATGTGGGTCGTACTCTTGGGCGGACACAGGTGCCAGTCGTACCTTCTGTAGACACGGATTCTTCCATTAGCATGGTGGACGTCGCGTGGATGACTGTAGATTGGCTGATACGGTGTCTAGCTGCCGTTGCTGCTGTTGACGTCAAGCACCTGTTCAGTCAGCCTGTTGCGAAGGTGTGTGGTACGGATGTGGCGGTCTTCTGTTCTAGGGCTGTCGTGAGTTCTTTCTGTCAACTAGCAAGAGTGCACATACCGTGCGTCTGGAACTGCCGACGGTTCCTGCAATATCGGTCTGTAACGTTCCCATTCTCGCCATACCAGTGGCTCTGTCTCGCTCTTTCAAAGATAAGCGTGGCATATTTTGGTGTGCTTTAGTATTTAGTAAAACTCACCGTGTTTGGTTCAACATTTTCCTCGTGCATTATGTGTAAGGTCTGAAAAACACGTTTTACCACTTGTTTAGGAATGCAAATGCACGACCTTTTCGCAGTATTGTTAGACAGCGTTGTAGTGTTTGGGCAAATGATTTCAGATTGGAAACATTAAAAACATTCACCAGGATTCGAAACAATTATTTTCTTTAAAGTGGGAAGGTTTGTTTTGCACGTCAGTATATGTTAAGAAGATGACGTCGTATTTACATGTCTCCCAGGCGAATCACATCAATGACCATGTCCTTTAATGAGTTATTTTAGAATATATAGGTTGAGTCGTGACTAACTCACTGTTAACAATAATGTGTCCAGTTTCCTCTGTCAACACTGTTTCTAACTAATGTGTTTTGTCAACTTGAAGGGGCCGTGAAAAATTGCCTAAATCTACTTCTCCACAATTACCAGCTTGTGTTAAACAGAATAAAAGATTTCAGACGCCAGTGTCTACTGCAGAGAAATGACAATGGCCTTGAATTTATCAGATTCGTTGCTGCTTCAATTTTTTCTATTCACGGCACCTCTCCTTACGTATTTAATTTTAACCCATATGCAATAAAACACAAAGGTAATGTAAAGTTTCCGCACCCTCATAAGATTTGAATTCTATTGTGACGTAGAGTCCGAATGACGCCACAATTTAAACGACGTCATAGCTGAATATTGTTGCGGTCATTGACCGTTTGTAATTCATTCATTCATTCAATCGTTGACTATTATAACGGTAATGCTATTTTTGAGGGCATTATCATTTGCAGAAGCCCGAGGTCTTCCATTAACTGCCCGACGAAGGAGGGCAGTTGACAAAAGACAGAGGGCATCTGCAAATGCTAATGCCCTCAAAAATAGCATTACCGTTATTATTGCTAAAATTCATGGAATTTGTGTTGAAAAGAAAAATGGAAACAATGAAGGAATTTGACTGTCAGTTTACTCAAAACCAACTTCTGAGGGGGTTGACTGCCCGAATGCAATTACGTCATCGAACAATTCAAGTGACGTCACAACAGAAAGTGACGATATTCGACCTTGGCCTTTGACAAGACCATAGCTTGCAACATGTCAAACTATGTCAGTGTTCGGTTTTGGTCCAACAACAACGTTAATAGTGCAATTGTTGAGGTTAGCACCAACAAGAAAGCCAATATTACCGCTATTTAAAGCGGGAATTCGGGTTCCTTTGAATTGTTTGACCCAGAATATCTGCCAGTCCAAAGCCAATGTCGAATGAACCGTAAGCCCACGCACCCACTATGACGTCACTTGACAACAGAACTGATAGTGGCCCGTCGTGAAGGTTGAGCGGTCCAATATCATTTGCAGCAGCCCGCAAATTTCTGATAATGGGAGGGCCGTTTCATGATAATTCCATGTATTTTAGCTATAATCTCTGCTTATCCGCAGAGGAAAAAGCTCATGTCCATTCCATCCCATTAACACCAAATCTCAGTTTAGTGCTAGCAAGAACTAAGAGCTGATTTTAACAAGATTTGAGTCCGGTTTTCAACCACATCTTGTTTGTCGGCGTCCTTTCTGATAAACACACGGGGCCCTGTTGTTTTCTTACACGCCTAGAAGTATTGTTAGGGTAAGACTTTAACGCTTCACGACATTCAGTCGTTTTATGATTACCGAAAAAGCAACATCAAGGTCTTATGATGCGCAGATTTGTTCAGTCGGGAGGCAACATTATGAGTGAGTGAGTTTAGTTTTACGCCACTTTTAGCAATATTCCAGCAATATCACGGCGGGGACACCAGAAATGGGCTTCACATACAACCTTATGACATATAGTGAGTGGCAGATCACCAGTCTACGTAAGACAAGGTATGCAGAGTGTCAGCGTCAGGTTGTCAGCAGATGATGCAGTTATGACCTCAGCCAGATAAACGTTTGTGGACATGGTTCCTCATAGCCTTTGTTTCCTTGAACCTTGATAGGTACGTCAAATGCATTACATTTCGTCAAGAAAATGCGTCATTAATTTAAAAAGCTATCCAGGAAATGTGAAGTTAGTATATACATACGTCAGTTATGTTTTTTCCTTGTTATTCATTTATCAAATATTTGGGTTTTTGAGAACGTGTCACGAGGTTTGATGTGAGCATTCAATCAAACCGATTGACGGCAGTTGTATCACGAGACAGACCATTGGATAATCAGGCATCATTAAAACATCGGTCGTTATGTCATCAGAGACTGGTCTTTATGTCATCAGAGATTGGTCATTATGTCAGAGACTGGTCATTATGTCATCAGAGAAAGGGTCATTATGTCATCAGAAACTCAATATGGCATCAGTGACTGGTCATTATGTCACCAGAGACTGGCCATTATGTCACCAGGGACTGGTCACTATGTCACCAGAGACTGGTCAATATGTCACCAGAGACTGGTCAATATGTCACCAGAGACTGGTCACTATGTCACCAGAGACTGGTCACTATGTCACCAGAGACTGGTCAATATGTCACCAGAGACTGGTCAATATGTCACCAGAGACTGGTCATTATGTCACCAGAGACTGGTCACTATGTCACCAGAGACTGGTCAATATGTCACCAGAGACTGGTCATTATGTCACCAGAGACTGGTCACTATGTCACCAGAGACTGGTCATTATGTCACCAGAGACTGGTCACTATGTCACCAGAGACTGTTCATTATGTCAACAGAGACTGGCCATTATGTCACCAGAGACTGGTCACTATGTCACCAGAGACTGGTTATTCTATCAGAGACTGTTCACTATGTCAACAGAGACTGGTTATTCTATCAGAGACTGGTAAATATTTCTTTGGAGACCAGTCATGTCATCTGAGAGCGGTCGTTTTGTTGACGTGGAAACCTTCCGCTGTCAACATTTTAGGACACAATCTGTTCGACTTGTTACTGATGGTCCACATGCAAATAGACTCGTATAGATCCGGGTAACAACTTGTCTTCAGCAGCCTATGTTTGTCGTAAGAGGCGATTAAAGGGATCGAGTGGTCCCAACTGTGTAGATCGGTGCTGATGTCAATCACTGGATTGTCTGGTACAGACTCCGTTATCTACAGACCGCCGTCATATTCATGTAGCTGGAAAATTGCTGAGCGCAGCGTTAAACAACAAACAAACAAACAAACCAAACTCACATGCAAATATATGTACTCTATAGACAACTAATATAAACCCAATACCGCGGCCCTTTATTCATGAATAGGAAAATACATTATTTCGTGTCGAAAATATGACGAACATCGCTGGGGGGTTGATTTATCAAAAAAACACGTTCATCCCCGAGAGGGCTTAATAACACCGTTTAGGTATATTTTTCATTTCACTGGATGAGACAAATATGTTATTTTAAAGGACAAATCTTTATCAAAGATCACGTCATATACATGTATGTTTTTAGTTTCAGTTTAACTCCTCAATCCATTTGTCCGTCACTGACAGGTGTAGATTTCCCTGGAGTGACAGTTGAGGGGAACATAGATATATAGTCCTTTGTGTCTATATACGCACCTATGTGTTACATTATTGAAAAAATACATATGATCTATCAGATCTAACATGTCTCGGAGGTGGGATGTCTTCTCGAAGAACCTTTCAGCAATCAATATAATTTTTTTCATGATGGTTAAATTTGTGACGTGACACTTGTCAAAAGAACGTACAGGAAGCGTATACGTTCCGTCACAGATGCCGGGGGGCACGTCTCAGATGTATATATAGGTGACCCTCCTCACGAAGTCTCAACCATTCTCCAACCAGTGAGACGCAGGAAACATATCAAAATGTCGCATCATACAATTTTGTCATTTGGCTATTTATGTTGTTTCATTTGTCAGTGTTTTGCTGCGAGTTTGAATTCCGACTCCAAACCTCACTTTAGTTATAACCCCAGCGACCAATACGGTAAGTAACACTGTAGGCTAATATTGTTTTACGCCACACTAGTTTTGTTACATTGGCTGGGAGGTGAGTTTTGTTTCTGTGTGTGTTTGTTGTTCAACGCCCCACTCAGCAATATTCCAGCTATATGACGGCGGTATGAAATAATCGAATCTGAACCAGACAATCCAGTGATGACATCATGAGCATCGATTTACTCAACTGGGATACGATGACATGTGTCAACCAAGTCAGCGAGCCTGACCACCCGATCCCGTTATTCGCCTCCTGCGGCGAGTTAATTACGATACGGTGAATGTTACCAGCTTGAAATAGATGCATAGAAGTTTCATTCTTATGACGAACACCTGGTATCATCACTGATTTTTCATTGATCCATCGTATAATTATCACGGCTATTCTGCTTTTTTGCACCAGGTGGGATCCATTTGGGGATAGTTGAGACTGATTATGTCTGTCCTGAACGCTTAACGGTTCAGAAATTAGATGTGCTTGTCTGACTACTTCGTTCACTCGTAACGAGAATTCTTTAACGATACTTATTAAAGTTTATTTGTGCCCAAGCCATACTTTCATTTGAAAAATTGCAATAAGTAATTTGGTTACATAAAATTCATGACTATTTACAGGTCCCGACAACTGGTATCAGATCTGGCCTGAGTGCGCTGGAGACCAACAGTCCCCGATAAACATCGACACCACACGAACGTTCCTGAATGACACCATGGCAATACATTATGAATGTTTCAATCGGACAATTCCCGGGCTTCTCACAAACAACGGTAAGGCGATACTTTCTTCATCCTCGTGGCATAGGGGTAAATTTGTAACTAGTCGTTAGATATCACACTGTCCTATTCTTTTTCGTGTATATCAGGCAGTTCATGGGACGTATGTGTCGTAGATGAATGGGAGATATATGTGATATAATACTAGTAAGATGTGATGAAAACAGATATCAGTGATATATATACTATTGTGGTTAAACCTTAGCTCGTCAACGCGACAACCCATGTTCGATTCCTCACAAGGATACAGACCGCCTCCGTGGTGTAGTGGTTAGAGCGTCCGCCCGGAGAGCGGAAGGTCGCGGGGTCGATCCCCGACCGCGTCATACCAAAAGACGTTAAAATATGGTACTTGTTGGTCCCTGCCTGGCGCTCGGCATTAATGGGTACAACAAGGACTGGTCGGCTCGGAGTCAGTATAATGTGTCTAAGTGGGGTATTCATGCTTCACTGCGGCATGGTATCTCAGTGGGCTAGCACTATAAAACCAGCTTAAGTCTGGGCTAGTTCAAGCAGCCGCACATACACACGCATGCACGTCGTCATATGAGCGAAATATTCTCAAGCACGACGTAAAACCCAATTTCACCTCACCTCACCTCACCTCACAAGGATACAATGTTTGAAACTCAGTGTTTGTGACCCATCGCCTTGGAATGAACTGCCCCGCGCTTTAAAACTGTCTCCACCTTTTGCTGCGTTCAAATCACAGCTTAAAACGCATATCTTTTCACAACACTATTAACTCTTCTCAAACATTATAATTTTGTACGTTACAGCTTTGAGCACCCACTTAGTAGTTGGATTTAGCGCTATATAAATTTTCAGTATCATTGTTACCTCCCCTCCAGCTTCCCTGATGTTGCTAGAATATTGTTGGTCACAACAAAAATGTAAGATCGATTATTGATCGGGCGATCAGTTACAGTGAGTGTATGACGGTATACTCTGACGACGTGGACAGCGCTCGTGCTTTCAACCCTGGATTATCTGGTCCAAAATAGAATATACACAGGCTGTCTTTATATAGTAGGGATAGCGCTGTGGCGTGCAACATTTGCACATAAATCTATTTCGCGAAAATGTCAGATTGGAAGCGTATTGCATTGTGTGGGTATTCTCATTCAGGTCACGTGCCAGTGTTTTCGTTTGAGAATCAGAAGAGGCCGGTACTGATGGGAGTCCCTCATCACGAACAAGACAGATACCTACTGGAACAAATACACCTTCACTTCCAGAAGGACAGTAGGACTGGGTCCGAGCACACGATAGACGAAGAGTACTACTCGGGAGAGGTATGTGTGTAGGAATCTGCGCCCACCCTTCGTGGTGACACGTGATCTTGTATACAGTGCACGGCAGTCATCATTTAAAGGCTGCTGGCGGGGAGTAGGTGGATGGGTGGCCGTATTCGGCAGCTCGACTCCTGAGAGTTTCCGGTCCTGCCTTTTACTGAAGCAGATATAAACTTAAACATCTCACCAAAGAAGTTTTGTTTGAGCAGAAAAGTTTGATTAAAAATAGCTCAATTACACTTATTTTGATTACACTTGTCTTGAAAAATAGCTCAGTTACATTTATCTTCATTAAATGTTACTCGGAAATAATTACAGCATCCGCCATTCGCCACATAAGTGGTTTCGGATGATTAGGAGGAACGCTTGGTGATATGTATTTTATTAAAATAATTTTCATATGACGTCAATAGACTTTTGCTCATTTAATAGAAAGTAAACTTTGAATAATTGTTATATGTCAAGCACTTGAATGAGTTTAGTTTTACGCCGCTTTTAGCAATATTCCAGCAATATCACGGCGGGGGACACCAGAATGGGCTTCACACATAGTACCCATGTGGGGGGCGACTTGTATATACCATTAGATGTTCTAACTATTTCTGCCCAATCGGCGATGTAAAAGTGCAGCGCACAATGGCAGGCCATTATTAAGGGACAATCCGTACCAACCTGGAATGACAAACAGAAATATAACAGATGTACGAACACATGAGGGTATACGGTATCTGCTGTTCATCATCTGTAGATATGCTCCAATGATATACTGGGCTAACGAGTGTTTATTTAATGTAATTTTCTTTCAGTTTCACCTTGTCCACTACAACTATAAATACGGCAACTTCAGCGCTGCTTTGAAACAGCCGGATGGTCTCGCCGTTGTGGCTGTCCTGTTAAAGGTAAGGTGCCGCCATAACATGCACTAAAATTGAATCTGATGCATTTTCACTTTTCAGGGGGGTACACAAAGTACCAGAGAGTATGGGTTCGAATCCCGGAAGAGACTCAACCTAACAAAAATGCTAGAATCTGTACTTTACTGAGAAAGTGAAATTAGTTTTTTTAATACATACTCTTAAAAAAAATAACGCATTACTAGATTAATGGACATGCTGAATTATGACATAAAACGTAATCTGGGTTTAGAACAGAGGGTCTCTGAAGTCAGGCAGATTTCTGAATTTGTGACAAAAATATAAAATTTACTTGCCGTGGGTTAACTAACTACAGGTATTATATACTGGTTGTATGATAAGTATTTAAGTAAATCTGTGTTTGCAGGACCTGGGTCGTCCTTCCCCTTATGCATGTCGAAGAGCTGTTGGTGGAGACAGAAGAAACGAAAACTGTCCGTAAGTGCCATGAGTGATCGTTATGGCGGCGGGGCGGTGGGGTAGCCTAGTGGTTAAAGCGTTGGCTCGTCACGCCGAAGACCCGGGTTCGATTCCCCACATGGGCACAATGTGTTAAGCCCATTTCTGGTGTTCCTCGCCGTGATATTGCTGGAATATTGCTAAAAGCGGCGTAAAACTAAACTCAGTCAGTCAGTCAGTCGTTATGGCGGCCATGTCGGTTTACGTCATGACGTAAAGGGGACCATGTGTTATTCTTTGATGAACAATGCCAATGTTTTAATCTACATTCTTTAATGGCAAATTAGTACTGTAGCGTTGTTTGTAGTCTGGGGATTTATTCCTACTGTGGGGGGGGGTTGAATATGGACCGACATGACATGACATGACATGACATAAAGGAAGACTGTTGGCGCTGGAACTCGCCTGAGGTTAAAGTTTCATACTTTAATGATATGTGTTTATTCCATGTGTTACTGGGGCAGAGGGGTAGCCTAGTGGTTAAAGCGTTCGCCGAAGACCAGGGTTCCGCGATCTCCCAAATGGGTACAATGTGTGAAGCCCATTTCCCCCACTGTGATATTGCTGGAATATTGTTAAAAACGGTGTAAAACCCTACTTACTCACTCACTCACTTCACATATTCCAGATGCCTCGCTCGCTTTGACCATCAACCCCAGTGAGTTCTTGCCCGACCGATGCCACTTCTACACCTATCCGGGTTCCTTGACGACGCCAGGCTGCGACGAGTCCGTCACATGGATCGTGGTGGCAACGCCGATGTCCATTGAAGATGCCGACGTGAGTTGAAACTGAGACCATTTTTTTCCTGTTCACGTGTAATATAAGCACCTTCTTGGTCAAATCCCATCAAAACAATCACAACCATTCTTGAAAACGTAGGTGGTTTGAAACAAGACTTGCTTATCTCCATGGGAACACCACCTGTTTTTTGCAATCCAAAATAAACTCTGCAATAAGTACCTGAAATCAATAACAACACTCTATACTTGTAATTATTATACATATTGTATATATTACTATTGTATTAATATTCACCTGTATTCAGTACTTGTAATTATTATTACATGTTGTATATATACTCATGCCAATAATGGTTGTCACCCCCTTCCCCAGCCCAACCCCCCACACACCTCCTCTCCAATTAAAAAAATTGAAGGGGGTGACAACCATTATTGGCATGAGTATATTACTATTGTATTAATATACACCTGTATTCAGTACTTGTAATTAATATTACATATTGTATATATTACTATTGTATTAATATGCACCTGTATTCAGTATTTGTAATCAATATCTAAAATCGACACCTGTAATATATACTTGCAATAAATACCTGCAATTAGTACCTATGATCAATATCCAAAATCGACACCTGTAATATATACTCAAAATAAATACCTGCAATCAGTACCTGTGATCAACATCCAAATTCGATACCTGTAATCTATACCTGTATATATGCCATACTGGTCCACAGATGGAAAAGTTACGCCAGATGAAGGATATGGACGATAGACCCATCGCCTTAGACGGCAACTGTAGGCCCCGACAACCTCTGGGATGCAGGATGGTGACAGCCAACTTTGCTTCCAAAACTGGCAAATAAATACTGGTCATCCCCAACAAGGCCAGAACACCAGTGGTCAGTTTGGTCATCGAAGGAAAGACCGCACATTCACGGATTGACACGAATGATCGCTTGGTTGCTCACGGAATGACACGAATGATCACAGTTACAGAACGACACGAGTGATCGTTTGGTTAGTCACGGAATGACACGAGTGATCACTTGGTTAGCCTCGGAATGCCACGAGTAATCCCGGTTAGTCACGGAGGCACCCGGATGGCCATGCATTTTGGTTAATGAAGAACACGCGGACATTTCGTTAGTTACGGAAAAACTCGAGTAGCCATTCAGTTAGTCACGGAAAAACCGAGAGGCCAATGGTGTCACCTGAAAGACAAGTGATGATAAAAGATACGGAAGAAAAGTGGTCACGATCCTCGTTCAGGGCCTCCACGAGGTATTTATAATATTTGGCAGAAAACAATCGGATACTTGCAATCTTTTTTGAATAAACAGCTTCATGTTTTCACAAAGAAGTGTTGTTTCTTTGTATTTGTGCAAGATGATACTGTGAATGACAGAGAAACAGCTGACAGGCCCCGGTGACTGCGGGTCAGAAAATCGATAAACTAGGCCCCGGTTTAGTATCAACACCCCGATAAACTAGGCCCCGGTACTATATATATACATAAAGGTTCATCACGGAAATACGGCGACATGATCGAAAACCGGACAATTACGCACACATCAATCAATATATCCTATTTTAAAGGCCTCACCGGGATCAAAAGCTTTTGTCCATATTTCCTATGTGTGTAGGAGGCATATACACGTGCTCTCCGTGGGGGTGCATTTGTTGGAGGTTTTTTAATTGCCAAAGACCGAGTTGCTGTGCCGGAAGTGTACAAAACTAGGTCGTCAGCGCAATCAAATTGGTTAATAAAATGATAACAAATGCGTGCTAAAATGAGAGGAAACTCAAACGTCTATCATCCAAGATGTCACTTTCTGATGTTTTATCTTGGTAAGAATAATTTTAAAAACGAGTACAAATATTTTTTAAAGAAACACATTCATTCAGTGTAATGTGTTAGCCAATCAGATCGCCGGAGGTAGTGAAGTCGAGCTAGTTTGGTATACTTCCGGCACAGCAACTCGGTCTTTGGCAATTAAAAAACCTCCAACAAATGCACCCCAGCGGAGAGCATGTGTATATGCCTCCTACACACATAGGAAATATGGACAAAAGCTTTTGATCCCGGTGAGGCCTTTAAAATAGGATATATTGATTGATGTGTGCGTAATTGTCCGGTTTTCGATCATGTTGCCGTATTTCCGTGATGAACCTTTATGTATTATATAGTAGGGGGTGTTGATACTAAACCGGGGCCTAGTTTATCGATTTTCTGACCCGCAGTGGGGGCCTGTGACAAGCATGGGTTACTGAAGACCACTTCTAAACCGGATCTTCACGGGTCACTAAAGTAAAGAGTGACAGCCTCTCTTGGGTAAGTTTAGTTCTATATGTGTCGAGCGAAATGGGGCGGTTGGGTACTCGATCCCCTCTTAAGACTGACTGAGTTTAGTTTTACGCCGCTTTTAGCAATATTCCAGCAATATCACGTCGGGGGACACCAGAAATGGGTATCACACATTGTGCCCATGTGGGGAATCGAAACCGGGTCTTCGGTGTGAGCCAACGCTTTAACCACTAGGCTAACCCCCACCCCTCTTAAGAAAACCAACTGCACATATTGATGAGGTGAGTTAACATCGCTTATAACAGTATTTCAGTTATATCAGGGCGTCACCTCGTCCACGTCTCGTGTCTTCTGCTACTTTCATTTCACAGGTCCAACTTGCTATGGAGAGTTGCGTCCCTTTGTCATGCAAAGAACCTGTGATTGGTTAAAATTCCGGTTTGACCCAATTACGACAATTTAGGTTTGTCAGCACCAGTGTGCGAAATAGTTTGCAAATTTTGCTAGCCATTAGGGCTAGCTATACCTGAAAGTTACTAGCCCATAAAATAATTCACAAGCCTGAAATTTGAATGTAGACACGGGTTTCATCATTAAGCTGCTGATATGTTGAACATTTTTATTAGGCCATAATATTGCATGATTTAAAAGTGTATCATAACTTAACAAGTCGGAGAGAGTGATATATTTACAAAATGACCCCATGAATAGTCACAAGCCAGTCGGGCCAGTGACTGCGGACATTTACAGTGCCGACTGGATTTTTACTAGCCACTGGCTAGCGGGCCAGTGACTATTTCGAACACTGGTCAGCACCATACCAATGTTCATTACAAACGTCTGAGACTTGGATCTATTTAGGCTCTCCTTCCACACATACAGGAAGGCCATATTGGGAGGGCTCATGGCATTGAGCTGCACATTCCACCTAGCCTCCCCATAATACTCCCATGTCAAGATAGGAATATCATTCACTGCGGAGTTACACGTAGACTAACAACTAGTCTCTGAAATGAACATATTTTACAGAAACAAAAGTTCATATATATATATATATCTACATGTAATGAAAAGGAGCCCTAAGACTTTCTTCATTTTCATACTTGCCACTTTTTCTAGACTTGCATGGGCTTTCTTGGATATATTGAAAAATATTGCTAAAAGCGGCGTAAAACTAAACTCACTCTACGACGTGGCCAAACGTTTTATCGGTTAGCGCACAATTAGGTCAGCTTAAAATGAAAGCCATACAATGATACATAAAACAGTTTTGATATTGCTGCAATATTGATAGAAGAGGGAAAAAACATACTTACTCACTCATCCAAAACATGAAATTTGCATCGCCATTGGCTCTTGCCGTTTTGTGTGGCTACACAACAATGACTGCTCCCAATAGTCTCCAACCAAAGTGTTTGTGTTGTCAACACCCACCTACAAGCTCCACAGCACCGCATGCCTTGCTGTACTTTGACTTTGACAGTGCATCGAGAAACTGATAACATACACTGTTTATCCCATGATCGTGTCTTGTATAGGAAGACAGAAGTCAAGCTAAGCAGGTAACCTTTAACAAACTTATCATAGCAATATCCTGTATCGAAAAGTGTGGAATTTTACGGTACGTACACGGTACAGTGTCAGAAGTAAGTAAGTAAGAAAATGCAGACTAACGGGGATCTGGTTGTCAGACTCGCTGACTTGGTTGACACATGTCATAGTATCCCAGTTGCGTAGATCGATGCTCATGCTGTTAATCACTGGATTGTCTGGTCCTGGTTCGACTATTTACAGACCGCCGCCATATATCTGGAATATTGTGTGTATGAATTGCAGTTGATGGATGAGGTAGGTGCTGACATTCCGCCAGAACAACAATACGATTTCTTTACGCAGGCTGTTACAGGGGCGATCTAAAAAACTACGTCACACAAGTTCGATTATTTGATTACAGCAAACATGTTGCTGTTATTTATGGGCGGTCTTTTGTGTCCAGGGGCGTAGCTACCATCATGACAAAAAGCCCGGGCTTACACATGATTTTGAAAATGAAAGTTTGGCTAGTCCTCAATACTATCTAAATATATGTTAGCTTTGTAACCTATTGGGCTTACACGAAAAAACTGGCTTGCCACGTGCCTGGTGTCAGAATCTATACCGGAATAATCCTCAGATGTTTGATAGCCCTCACTCACTTGGTTTCCTGATATCGATGCAGCGGACGTTTAGTCGACTTTACAACTGTTGCTGTAAAATTCACAGCTGTGCCCACAAAGGGAATGTTTATGAACCAAACTTGTACCATTGATACTTATAACCAAGGTTGATGTGTATTTTTGCAAAAGGTCCAGAGCAACCAACATCCATTGGCTATAAAACATTATACACGTGAAGGCCGTACAAAGAAAACATTAGTCTGTCTCACAGTCCCTGAACCACATTATTGTCCCTACTTCCAAGCCCTCCCTCTAGTGCTAAAGCCGTAAAAAAAGCAAGTCTAGATTTCCTGCAAGAAAACTGAATCTCTGGTCTCCCTGGGGCTCCTTTTCAATTTAAATGGGCTTGTTTGTTACTATCAAAATTATATATATTCAGAGACTAAGCATTAGACTAACAAGACATGTTTATGTCCTTGTCTGTCATACAGACCCAGAAATTCAATAACCTGAATAATTGCATCTGCTTTATCTAAAAGGACAAGATCTGGTGTGTTGGCAAGAATTTTTCACAAGCCTATTCCAAAGAAGTTTAAAAGCATCATTTTCCTGGACATATTCAGGATCTTACCTCGGGGTCAAAGCTTAAGCCACCAGCGTGACGAAGATGCTAATAGACGAAACGAGCCATGTCATCATGTTTTTGTGCCATTGAACATTCCCCACCAATTCATTACACAGTGGACATTTAACAGTAATATTCTCCCTATGAATCCCACTTTGGCGAGACCTGGCAGCAAAAGTATTGTATGATTTAGATAAAAATATGTTGGGGATATATATTTCGCATGAGATAAGTTTCTGTTACTAAATGCCAGTCAACAATACCGCAACATGTCCCTGTTGTTCTAGGACTGGATGTCGAAACTTCAACTAGAGCTTCCTGACTTAATGTAAACGATGGTAGGATTCTCCACACGTCCCTGTGAAACATCATAAATCCGGTGATGGCTTGTTGTACTTGTTCGTGATGTGGCCAAGCTCACTAAAATAAAGTTGGCTGGTTGGTTTGTTGTTTAACGCCACATTCAGCAATATTTCAGCTATATGGCGGCGGTCTGTAAATAATCAAATCTGGACCAGACAATCCAGTGATCAACAACATGAGCATCGATCTACGCGGAACCGATGACATGTGTCAACCAAGTCAGCGAGCCTTACCATACGATCCCCTTTTACGAGACCGCCTCCGTGGTGTAGTGGTTAGAGCGTCCGCCCGGAGAGCGGAAGGTCGCGGGTTCGATCCCCGACCGCGTCAAACCAAAAGACGTTAAAATATGGTACTTGTTGGTCCCTGCTTGGCGCTCGGCATTAATGGGTACAACAAGGACTGGTCGGCTCGGAGTCAGTATAATGTGTCTGAGTGGGGTATTCATGCTTCACTGCGGCATGGTATCTCAGTGGGCTAGCACTATAAAACCAGTTTCAGTCTGGGCTAGTACAAGCAGCCGCACATACACATACACACGCATGCACGTCGTCATATGAGCAAAATATTCTCAAGCACGACGTAAAACCCAATTTCACCTCACCTCACCTTTTACGACAAGCATGGGTTGCTGAAGGCCAATCCTAACCGGATCTTCACGGGTCACTAAAGTAAAGAGTGACAGCCTCTCTGTGGTAACTTTAGCTCTATATATCTCAAGCAATATGGAGCGGTTGAGTAGCCCTGTGGTTAAAGCGTTGGCCCGTCACGCCGGACCCGGGTTCGATTCCCCAAATGGGTACAATGTATGATACCCATTTCTGGTGTCCCCCGCTGTGATATTGCTAGAATATTACTAAAAGCAGCGTAAAACCATACTCACTCACTCAATCGATCTGTCTATCTTCTTCTATCAGTGATAGATCAGGCCACTGTTTCAAAAATCGTAGAGCCACTGAAGTGCTTGTGATGGAATAAACAACGTCCAGCGATATCTTTCAAAGATGAATCGTAGCGATCGTAGCGCTAAGATGATCGTAACTCCCATACTTTCTCAAAGACTTACGACAGTCGTAGGGCTACGATCGCTTTGAGGAACGGGGCCCAGGCTAGCTATTCTCGAAAACTTCTTAAACCCATTCTTAACACATTGGCTACGATCAAAGATAAGAATTCGTAAGCCTATGACAAAAACTTCAGTTACGACAGGTCGTAACGTTACGAACGCTTTGTGGATCGGGGATCGGACCAATTCCGTGAGTCAGTATGCGATACAACTTCCTGTGTTTCTCTACCAATACTAAATATAGTAACACAGACTTTCTTCCACTAATTCTGTCATGAAGGGTAGCAGCTATACAAATCTAATTTAAAATTGGTCTTCAGCAACCCATGCTTCTCGTAACAAGCGTCTAACGGGATCGGGTGGTCGGGCTCGCCGACTTGGTTGACACATTTCACCGCATCCCAAATGTGTAGATCGATGCTCATAATGTTGATCACTGGATTGTCTGGTCCAGACTCAGTAATTTACAGACTGCCGTCATGTAGCGGGAATATTGCTGAACGAGGCGTCAAACTAGAAAACAAGATAAAAAATAAATGGAACAGCAAAGATGGTGGCAACGTTCCAAAACACCATCTCACTCAAAACGGCAATATATGCCCTGTATAAACAGGCGCGTAGCAAGCCTATTTTTTTCTTGACAGCCCGATAGGTTGCAAAGCTATATGATTAGATAGTATTGAGGACTTGCCCAACCTTTGTAGCAACAATCATGTGTAAGCCCGGGCTTGTTTCATAATGGTAGCTACAGAGGTACAGATAAGCTGCGTATCTGCGTAAATTACGCAAATATTTAGATGAAAACTCAATTCCTATTAAGTCTATTGCGTACAAGTAAACTTGAAGTTTTGTAAATACTCAATAAATGTGATCTTACATGCGTACACACAAAAATGTCAAATCGTTGCTTGCGTACCGGTGGATAGATAACATAACTGAAGTATATTGAGAGGTTCTATTTCAGGACGTGAACTTGACAACTTGCAGTACTAGTATTTCTTATCCTTTCTCTTATTACAGATCAAATGTAAATCACAAACACTAACATTTAAACTTTATTATATTTTAAAATTAATGAAAATGGCAAAATACTCAGTTGAGTTTGAGTGAGGTGAGTACAATATATTTCGTTACTCAAAGGAAAATTAGGATACCCAATTGAGATGAAGACAACTTGCATGGAGTACATAACTCAATGACCCAAAAAGTTATCTGTGGCTCTGTAGCTACGCCCCTGATAAATAACGCCTATATTCACATCAACATGTTCAAGTCGGCTAACAGTTTGTCAAAACCATAAAAGACAAAGATTCGACTTCCTTAAATTCTACAGACACAAACTTCGTAAAACGTGTCGTCTTTTTTGGCCCTTTTGCTTTCCATAGTTAGAACATCGCGGATGACTCAGGTCACGTGATGACTTCGCTCTGAAAATGTATACAAGCAGACGACAGGTGTCCCATCGACTTCCAAGTTTCAACGTATGACTTTATTGCATTTTGATCTAGGGTTAAAGTAGCCGAGAGCAGCAATGGCGTCCTTCTGTCAAGACATGACCCTACATCGCGATGCATGGTCATGACTCATGTTAGCCGAGAGCCGCGATGCGGTCCTATACAGTCAAGACATGACCCTGCATCGCGTGCAGGGGTCATGTCATGACTGTATAGGACCGCATCGCGGCTCTCGGCTAGACTCATGTTGGACCCCATGGCGGCTATCTAGGGTTAGCCGAGTTGATTGTTGTTTGTTGTAACTTACGTTTGGTAGCTTGACACGAAGCGTTTTTAGTTCCGTAAACTAAAGCCGTGTCGGTAGAAGACCAAAACTACAGGTACTGTCATTTCCCGTTCTATGATTTATTATCAGACAAACTAAGCGTTCGAAGTTCCATGTAGATCAAATTGTACGATTTGACGAAAAATCCAGTTACTTTAAAAAAAATACACGCCTCAGATCCGTCCACACCTGCTCATAACTCTGTCCTTACGATCAGCATGGCTCTCCACGAACCTATATATTCGTGATTTGTTTGCGATTAGATTTGTGACGAGTCTAATGGCGCTGGGCCAAGGAAAGCCTTGCGGACACGATATTGACCAGTGACAAACACAAACAAGCTCCTCACAGCGACTGTCACGCGCAGGAAAGAGCTTGTAGCTTTATTATAAGGGACCGTTAATAATTTATGACTTGGGGGTGATGTTGATTTTTTAAAATTTTAGGGGCGTCCCACCCTTTGTGTGTGTGTGTGTGTGTGTGTGAGTGTGAGAGAGAGATATAACATTATAAAAAAGTGTGCTTATAAATTGCGGGGGGGGGGGAACTTACTTTGTTTGGTTCATGCAATAATCTAGACATAGGTATTCTTAAGTGTCTGAAACCCCATTCCACATGCAATTAAGGATGTGCATGTATATTGGAAACACACCTAACATTCTCTATCAGTATGTGTACTGTGCATGGGAGACTTTTCAAAATCACAGTAAATTCATATAATTTTAAGTCTTTATTCTGCCTTTTGATTGGCTGAGTTTGAACGTAGGGCCTCTACTAATGAAATCATCATTGTAGTAGCCGTAAAATTTCCGAGTCTTGTCCTGGGATTTGATCCAGAAACCTAATTCAAAGTCAGACGCCTTGTCCACATGACCACCCTTTGGGCAAGTTGACAGGGTAATCTTGAAGGTCATCTGTGGGATGACTACATGCCCTGCTACATTAGGATGGGATATTCGCCTGACCTCACAGCTGACCTCTCCAACCAGGTCAAAAGTTGCACAAACTATATTTGTGTATACTTCTGTGAAAGTGTAGGTCACTATAGTTACAAAAGGCAGTTATCATATCAGTTAAAATATTATTGAACGTGAGAGTAAAATGCATACTTGTTCTCGGATTTTGTGAAGAGCGACATTTTTGGTGTGTCAGAAATCTAAGGGATTTTAAGTCAGTTTCCTTTGTTTGCAGATTGTACAGTGAATTCATTGAGCATCTGCAAGATGAAGACCAGCGGACTGTACACCTGGACTGTTTTGATGATTCTGCAGAGTCTTGTGGCAGGTAACTTGATCTCTGCGCCCCTATGCAGCAAGCAACAAATTTATGCAGTTGAAGACGGGTGACATTGGTTTGTAGTTTGACAAGTGTTTGTTGAGTCATCAGTGTTGAATCTGATGGAGCTTGTGGGACATGTGACCTTCTGACATGTCAGTCATGATGGCTATGACTCATCATGTCCTGTTCACTTATATTTCTACACAAGTCCTTATAAATTTCCTTTTTTCCTCTATATAGATATGTCGATTTCCAATGAAAATTTATTTCAGTGTATTAAGCCAACCCATAATGAAGCCATTCGTCATTTCGTCAGACCTTATTATTCACCTTTCCTATGCTGGCTGTTTGAAAATTTGTTTGTGGACATTAAAAACTAAATGTCACTTTTTCAAAATATAAATTGCACTAAATATGACCCCAAAATACTGAATTGAAATCCCAGCATTTATTTTAAAGAGCAGATACCAATATAGTGTCTGTGAAGGACACAGCTTGGTCAAACTGGCATATCTATGTTCTTTAACATCTCTTCAATGTTGTCTACTTTCTCAGACCCCGAAAAGATCCGGTTTAGAATTTGTCTTCAGTAACCCATGCTTGTAGTAAGAGGCAACTAATGGGATCGGGTGGTCAGGCTCGCTGACTTGGTTGACACATGTCATTGTATCCCAATTGCGTAGATCAATGCTCATGCTGTTGATCACTGGATTGTCTGGTCCAGATTCGATTATTTACAGACAGCCGCCATATAGCTGGAATTGCTGAGTACGAATGTGCGGTGTTAAGTAACAAAGCAACGAAACAATCTACTTTCTCAAATGATGTAAAGTATATCAATCAAGACTGACAAGGGTAATCACGAAGTTTCATTACAATGCTACATGTGGTCTTTCCTATTTGTTTTTCCTAACATAATGGATATATTACCCTGGTAATCATTCTTTTTAGGGTAGACTTACTAGTATTAAGATTCTTATGCTGACATAAATTTGATTCTAGATATTCAAAACTTTGTCACATCTGGTGCTGTTTTATTGTCTTTTTAAAGTAAATATGTCAAGGGTAATCACGAAGTTTCATTACAATGCTACATGTGGTCTTTCCTATTTGTTTCTCCTAACATAATGGACATATTACCCTGGTAATCATTCTTTTTAGGGTAGACTTACTAGTATTAAGATTCTTATGCTGACATAAATTTGATTCTAGATATTCAAAACTTTGTCACATCTGGTGCTGTTTTATTGTCTTTTTAAAGTAAATATGACACCCAAATATTGAAGGAAAATTGACAAACTGTGTACAGTTAATGATACTCACCTTCTGGAAAATGTCCTAGTTAGTTTGTAGTCATCAACACCGCTACAGTCATTGACTTCCTCAAATAGTGTTGGGGCAGCCTAGTGGTTAAAGTGTTCACTCATCACAACGAAGACAACGGGTTTGATTCCCCACTTTGACACAATATGTGAAGCCCATTTCTGGTGTGCCCTGTCATGATATTGCTGGAACATTGTTAAAAGCGGTGTAAAACTAACTTCACTTACTTACTCAAATAGTGTGAAAATATCAGTTTATGTACAGAAACTACACGACTCAGCTATCTCAATTGGCTATATTCTGTACTAGGGGTGAAACGAAACATTGGTGCATCGGGTGGCGATACAATTCACAGCATGAATTTTTCTTTGTCTATACAAGAAAATACACTTGTTAACGTAAATTATTTAAAATTCTTTCAATGTCCTCCTAGTGTCTTTATAAGTCAAATTGAAAAATGTTTTGGAATTAGCATTTTGAGATCATTACTGAAAAAAGCCTCCACAAACATGTTTCTAAAATTAACGTTTCCTTTTTAACCTGCTCTGAAAAAGTTATAGCCAAAACGTTTCCACATGATTTGGTGTAAAATTGCATATTACGATACATAATGAATCATAACCTATGTATCAAAATACTGAGTGAGTGAGTTTAGTTTTACGCCGCACTCTGCAATATTCCAGCTATATGGCGGCGGTCTGTAAATAATCGAGTCTGGACCAGACAATCCAGTGATCAACAGCATGAGCATCGGTTTGCCCAATTAGGAACAGATGACATGTGTCAACCGAGTCAGCGAGCCTGACCACCTGATCCCGTTAGTCGCCTCTTACGACAAGCATAGTCGCCTTTTGTGGCAAGCGTGGGTTGCTGAAGACCTATTCTACCCCGGATCTTCACGGGCCTGTATCATAATAGGTATCATATCGTGACCTTGTTGTATCATTTCACCCCCATAGATAACACCAAGTACAAAGTAGGTTCCGAACTATAGAGCAAAGTCCCCCTTTAATATTTAATTCTTACTTCATTTACAGGTGCTGTCTCTATGTCAAGCATTTCTCGACAATACCTACCTGAAAGGTATCAGGAAGAGGGGGATAACTCTCATCACCATGACGGGGCACATAACTCTGTTTTCTCACTTGTCTGCTATTATTCTATTGGACAACCATATCAAGGGCTTCTGCCTCCAAATATAAATGTCTCATTCTGTTCCCATGTAATATTTCTTGGAACGATTATCCAAAACTCTCAGGTGACAGCGGCGAGTGAGATAGATGTTGAACTATACTTCAAGAAAGTTGTACTTTTGAAGAAAATGAAACCATCATTGAAGGTCTTATTGTCCAATGGAGGCAACTTTTCCCAGGTTTTAAATACACAAGAAAACAGAACCAGGTAGGCGAGTTAATAGCTATAATTTTTATTTCTTTGGTTCTAACATGTTACTCCTTCTTTCATTATGTTTAAACAGTGCAAAAGAATAGTCGCATTTTTTCTGAGTAACTTAATTAGTTTTATCTGTTAATATTTATAATATTATTGTGGAGATGAAAAATTATTTTTTTACATTAATATCAAGATAGATATGTAATTTCTTTTTTCATGCATTAATATTAACAGAAATAAAGATTGCTTTTCCTCTATTTATTATGGAACTGTAAGTTTAGTATTTTTAATCCCAGTTGGTTCTCTTATTTGCACTCATATATTTAATGTAGAACAACCCAACATTGATAAATTCCCCATTTGCAACAGTTAATATTTCATTCAGATTGATATAAACAATCGTGTACATAATGCATGGAATTGAACAAACCACATTAATAGAAAATCGTTTATATCTTTATTTTAGTAAATTTGATGAATATTTGGAAAATAATGGCTCATTTTCTCCCTTTGTTCTGTGCTGAAAATGTATACAATAATAGAAAATGCAACTTTTGATCCATCAAATGAGTACTTTTGTTGGGTTGAGTCCCATTCATTATTCAAACCCACACCCTGTGGAAGCTCGCGGTGGCTGAGCGGGTTAGACAGCTTTGTGTCCTGGCGATTAGGCGCTGAGTCTGAGGGCATGGGTTCGAATCCTGGATGGGACTCAACCCAACAAAAGTACTAAAGTACTGTCGGAAATAGAAAAAAACTGTTTTAGGCTGTTACTCTGTATCCTTAAAATTTACACAATTGCAAATAGCATATGTCGAAATAACCCACATCGGCCTAACTGGGCGTTCAGTGGGATGCGTAGTAGGATATCCAGAAAAGCATGTTTACTCGTAAAATCGGGCAAAACTTAGAAAAAATACGAACAGCTGCTGAAAACAATAGATCAGACTATAGATGGCAATTAGGTCGCTCAGCCAGGTATGACGATGGACCGTCAACTCACTTGGCATGAAATGCAGGTGCTGCCCACAGACACAAGGGGTCATCTCAAATATCTTTTATGCTTTTTCATGTGTATTGAATATGTCTCTACTGATTTTCTGATCTTAGCTAATATCTCTATCCCCAAGCCCGACCCCAACTACCATCAGCAACACCCGTCTTGGTTTTGCTTTTGAGACGACCCCTCCTACCTGTTTCTTTTTATAGTGATAGTGAGACTCAGTGGTATCTATCTCCTTAATAGTTTCAGTATTAAAGTTGTTATTTTTTACGTCTGCTATCGTTTATTATGAAGCTAAGTCTAATTTCAAAATGGACATTCAAAAAGTGTCATTTGTTATACAATATCATCGCACACTAATTTGCATAAAGCCATGGTCTGCTCCAAATAAGTCTCTTCGGACTTTGAAAAAACCCGCATTGCTCATTTCTGCACTAATCTCTCCTCAGTAAAATCCTTTTTGAACGTTTCCTATCTCCCTACCACTGAGATATTTCACACTTTCACATATTAACTACCTAACTTGTAGATATAAATGTGAAAAAACAGGGTTTTTTCTATTTCCGACAGTACTTTAGAATCTGTACTTTACTGAGAAAGTCACTGCAGTAATCCCAAATATAACATATGTTACAAATGATTTAGGGTAGTGATTCACCTGCCAAAAGCCAAGAAATGTCAAGTTACTAAACAAAATTACTATACTGGGTTTTGAATCCTATTACACCTATAACATTGGGATATATAAGATATATTGCAATCTGAGTATTATACATATGTATTGTATCACAATTCCACCGTTTTATTAAACTCTTGATATTTCATGTCAAGGTATTACATGTAATTTGATGCAGATTTGCTGAAACTGCGGTGCCATTATTGAGGAAATATGGTTTTGATGGCCTTGACCTTGACTGGGAGTTCCCTGCATGGAATGGTCTTCCAGCTCAACAGAAACACAACCTGACCTTGGTCGCACAGGTATCGGTGAAATAGAGATTTTGTCTCTGAGAACAGCCATTACATCTGTAAGACACTGACCTAGAATTTTGTCCAAGCATTTGATATTGTAGGTATGTTTTCTAAATTCTCTTACAATAAATATCCAGGATCTATTCATCATGACTCATATCCTTCGACATATAACAATCCATCCTATCAGAAAATGGGGGCATATTTCTTTTCTTTTTCGTTTTTTTATTTTTTAATTTTTTGGGGGTTGGGGGGGCATATTTCTATTAGGTTTGTGATTGGAGTTTTATTTATTGTACTTACCACTCACAATTTATGTACTAACTAACTAAGGAAAGGTGGTATAATATGCTGGAGTGTTTCGGATGTACTTTTATACTACACAACACTGATCAGGAACAAAATAATCTTTAGACAAAGTTGTGATCCTTCACAAATCTTAAATCTTTCATACATGTAGCAAGAGAAAGAAACCACAACCAAATGAACTTGTCTTTTTCCCCTCCCTGAAAAAATATTTTTGAGCTGAAATAAATACAGCTGATGAGTTAAGTCACTGAAGAAATGTAGTACAGTGCACTAGTGTTGGGGATTGATTAAAATATCATAATTGATGATAGCTTCATTACAACCGATCAATCATCGAAAATAATTGGTTAGCGTCATTTATGAATTTTCCTGGTTATATTTGTTAATGCATAAAAACATAAAGAAAAACATGTAGTTCTTTGGGGTTTATTTTGGCAAATTTCACATCTTGAAAGGATGACGAGTATATTAGGAACATAACTTTCTTGGCGTCTTTAAGATAAATTCAATCATGACCTGGAACGATCTTGTAGTGCTTATGAAATGTAACAGACAAAACCATCCTTGTGAAAAATATTGTTATTTCAAAAAGTGTTCCAGACTTGTTTGTGTTCGATTATGAGAAAACATGATCGATTGTTTGGTCGTTTAGTCACTGCGACCACATTCGCTCATCACGCTGAAGACATGGGTTCGATTCCCCACATGGGTACAATGTGTAAAGCCCATTTCTGGTGTCCCCCGCCACCACTATTGCTAAAAGGCGTAAAACCACCCTCATGTAAGTCTCTGGACCACCACTACAGTGCCACCACTACAGTGCACCCCATGTAAGTCTCGGACCACCACTACAGTGCACCCCATGTAAGTCTCGGACCACCACTACAGTGCACCCATGTAAGTCTCGGACCACCACTACAGTGCACCCATGTAAGTCTCGGACCACCACTACAGTGCACCCATGTAAGTCTCGGACCACCACTACAGTGCACCCATGTAAGTCTCGGACCACCACTACAGTGCACCCCATGTAAGTCTCGGACCACCACTACAGTGCACCCATGTAAGTCTCGGACCACCACTACAGTGCACCCATGTAAGTCTCGGACCACCACTACAGTGCACCCATGTAAGTCTCGGACCACCACTACAGTGCACCCATGTAAGTCTCGGACCACCACTACAGTGCACCCATGTAAGTCTCGGACCACCACTACAGTGCACCCATGTAAGTCTCGGACCACCACTACAGTGCACCCATGTAAGTCTCGGACCACCACTACAGTGCACCCATGTAAGTCTCGGACCACCACTACAGTGCACCCATGTAAGTCTCGGACCACCACTACAGTGCACCCATGTAAGTCTCGGACCACCACTACAGTGCACCCATGTAAGTCTCGGACCACCACTACAGTGCACCCATGTAAGTCTCGGACCACCACTACAGTGCACCCATGTAAGTCTCGGACCACCACTACAGTGCACCCATGTAAGTCTCGGACCACCACTACAGTGCACCCATGTAAGTCTCGGACCACCACTACAGTGCACCCATGTAAGTCTCGGACCACCACTACAGTGCACCCATGTAAGTCTCGGACCACCACTACAGTGCACCCATGTAAGTCTCGGACCACCACTACAGTGCACCCATGTAAGTCTCGGACCACCACTACAGTGCACCCATGTAAGTCTCGGACCACCACTACAGTGCACCCATGTAAGTCTCGGACCACCACTACAGTGCACCCATGTAAGTCTCGGACCACCACTACAGTGCACCCATGTAAGTCTCGGACCACCACTACAGTGCACCCATGTAAGTCTCGGACCACCACTACAGTGCACCCATGTAAGTCTCGGACCACCACTACAGTGCACCCATGTAAGTCTCGGACCACCACTACAGTGCACCCATGTAAGTCTCGGACCACCACTACAGTGCACCCATGTAAGTCTCGGACCACCACTACAGTGCACCCATGTAAGTCTCGGACCACCACTACAGTGCACCCATGTAAGTCTCGGACCACCACTACAGTGCACCCATGTAAGTCTCGGACCACCACTACAGTGCACCCATGTAAGTCTCGGACCACCACTACAGTGCACCCATGTAAGTCTCGGACCACCACTACAGTGCACCCATGTAAGTCTCGGACCACCACTACAGTGCACCCATGTAAGTCTCGGACCACCACTACAGTGCACCCATGTAAGTCTCGGACCACCACTACAGTGCACCCATGTAAGTCTCGGACCACCACTACAGTGCACCCATGTAAGTCTCGGACCACCACTACAGTGCACCCATGTAAGTCTCGGACCACCACTACAGTGCACCCATGTAAGTCTCGGACCACCACTACAGTGCACCCATGTAAGTCTCGGACCACCACTACAGTGCACCCATGTAAGTCTCGGACCACCACTACAGTGCACCCATGTAAGTCTCGGACCACCACTACAGTGCACCCCATGTAAGTCTCGGACCACCACTACAGTGCACCCCATGTAAGTCTCGGACCACCACTACAGTGCACCCATGTAAGTCTCGGACCACCACTACAGTGCACCCATGTGGAAGTCTCGGACCACCACTACAGTGCACCCATGTAAGTCTCGGACCACCACTACAGTGCACCCATGTAAGTCTCGGACCACCACTACAGTGCACCCCATGTAAGTCTCGGACCACCACTACAGTGCACCCATGTAAGTCTCGGACCACCACTACAGTGCACCCATGTAAGTCTCGGACCACCACTACAGTGCACCCATGTAAGTCTCGGACCACCACTACAGTGCACCCATGTAAGTCTCGGACCACCACTACAGTGCACCCATGTAAGTCTCGGGACCACCACTACAGTGCACCCATGTAAGTCTCGGACCACCACTACAGTGCACCCATGTAAGTCTCGGACCACCACTACAGTGCACCCATGTAAGTCTCGGACCACCACTACAGTGCACCCATGTATCTCCGACCACCACTACAGTCTCTCGGACCACCACTACAGTGCACCCATGTAAGTCTCGGACCACCACTACAGTGCACCCATGTAAGTCTCGGACCACCACTACAGTGCACCCATGTAAGTCTCGGACCACCACTACAGTGCACCCATGTAAGTCTCGGACCACCACTACAGTGCACCCATGTAAGTCTCGGACCACCACTACAGTGCACCCATGTAAGTCTCGGACCACCACTACAGTGCACCCATGTAAGTCTCGGACCACCACTACAGTGCACCCATGTAAGTCTCGGACCACCACTACAGTGCACCCATATGTAAGTCTCGGACCACCACTACAGTGCACCCATGTAAGTCTCGGACCACCACTACAGTGCACCCATGTAAGTCTCGGACCACCACTACAGTGCACCCATGTAAGTCTCGGACCACCACTACAGTGCACCCATGTAAGTCTCGGACCACCACTACAGTGCACCCATGTAAGTCTCGGACCACCACTACAGTGCACCCATGTAAGTCTCGGACCACCACTACAGTGCACCCATGTAAGTCTCGGACCACCACTACAGTGCACCCATGTAAGTCTCGGACCACCACTACAGTGCACCCATGTAAGTCTCGGACCACCACTACAGTGCACCCATGTAAGTCTCGGACCACCACTACAGTGCACCCATGTAAGTCTCGGACCACCACTACAGTGCACCCATGTAAGTCTCGGACCACCACTACAGTGCACCCATGTAAGTCTCGGACCACCACTACAGTGCACCCATGTAAGTCTCGGACCACCACTACAGTGCACCCCATGTAAGTCTCGGACCACCACTACAGTGCACCCATGTAAGTCTCGGACCACCACTACAGTGCACCCATGTAAGTCTCGGACCACCACTACAGTGCACCCATGTAAGTCTCGGACCACCACTACAGTGCACCCATGTAAGTCTCGACCACCACTACAGTGCACCCATGTAAGTCTCGGACCACCACTACAGTGCACCCATGTAAGTCTCGGACCACCACTACAGTGCACCCATGTATGTCTCGTCTCCACTACAGGCACCACCACTCGGAGTGCACCCATGCACCCATCTCTCGGACCACCACTACAGTGCACCCATGTAAGTCTCGGACCACCACTACAGTGCACCCATGTAAGTCTCGGACCACCACTACAGTGCACCCATGTAAGTCTCGGACCACCACTACAGTGCACCCATGTAAGTCTCGGACCACCACTACAGTGCACCCATGTAAGTCTCGGACCACCACTACAGTGCACCCATGTAAGTCTCGGACCACCACTACAGTGCACCCTTGTAAGTCTCGGACCACCACTACAGTGCACCCATGTAAGTCTCGGACCACCACTACAGTGCACCCATGTAAGTCTCGGACCACCACTACAGTGCACCCCATGTAAGTCTCGGACCACCACTACAGTGCACCCATGTAAGTCTCGGACCACCACTACAGTGCACCCATGTAAGTCTCGTACAGTGCACGTAAGTCTCGACCACCACTACAGTGCACCCCATGTCTCGGAAGTCTCCTTGTAGGGAGTCTCCACCACCACTACAGTGCACAGTGCACCCCATGTAAGTCTCGGACCACCACTACAGTGCACCCTATGTAAGTCTCGGACCACCACTACAGTGCACCCTTGTAAGTCTCCGGACCACCACTACAGTGCACCCCATGTAAGTCTCGGACCACCACTACAGTGCACCCTTGTAAGTCTCGGACCACCACTACAGTGCACCCCATGTAAGTCTCGGACCACCACTACAGTGCACCCCATGTAAGTCTCGGACCACCACTACAGTGCACCCATTGTAAGTCTCGGACCACCACTACAGTGCACCCTTGTAAGTCTCGGACCACCACTACAGTGCACCCTTGTAAGTCTCGGACCACCACTACAGTGCACCCATGTAAGTCTCGGACCACCACTACAGTGCACCCTTGTAAGTCTCGGACCACCACTACAGTGCACCCAGTAAGTCTCGGACCACCACTACAGTGCACCCATGTAAGTCTCGGACCACCACTACAGTGCAGTGCCACCACTACAGTGCACCCATGTAAGTCTCGGACCACCACTACAGTGCACCCTATGTAAGTCTCGGACCACCACTACAGTGCACCCATGTAAGTCTCGGACCACCACTACAGTGCACCCATGTAAGTCTCGGACCACCACTACAGTGCACCCCATGTAAGTCTCCGGACCACCACTACAGTGCACCCTTTGTAAGTCTCGGACCACCACTACAGTGCACCCTTGTGAAGTCTCGGACCACCACTACAGTGCACCCATGTAAGTCTCGGACCACCACTACAGTGCACCCTTGTAAGTCTAGGACCACCACTACAGTGCACCCTTGTAAGTCTAGGGACCACCACTACAGTGCACCCCATGTAAGTCTCGGACCACCACTACAGTGCACCCTTGTAAGTCTCGGACCACCACTACAGTGCACCCATGTAAGTCTCGGACCACCACTACAGTGCACCCATGTAAGTCTCGGACCACCACTACAGTGCACCCATGTAAGTCTCGCCACCACTACAGTGCACCCATGTAAGTCTCGGACCACCACTACAGTGCACCCATGTAAGTCTCGGACCACCACTACAGTGCACCCATGTAAGTCTCGGACCACCACTACAGTGCACCCATGTAAGTCTCGGACCACCACTACAGTGCACCCATGTAAGTCTCGGACCACCACTACAGTGCACCCATGTAAGTCTCGGACCTACACTACAAGTCTCGGACCACCACTACAGTGCACCCATGTAAGTCTCGGACCACCACTACAGTGCACCCATGTAAGTCTCGGACCACCACTACAGTGCACCCATGTAAGTCTCGGACCACCACTACAGTGCACCCATGTAAGTCTCGGACCACCACTACAGTGCACCCATGTAAGTCTCGGACCACCACTACAGTGCACCCATGTAAGTCTCGGACCACCACTACAGTGCACCCATGTAAGTCTCGGGACCACCACTACAGTGCACCCATGTAAGTCTCGGACCACCACTACAGTGCACCCATGTAAGTCTCGGACCACCACTACAGTGCACCCATGTAAGTCTCGGACCACCACTACAGTGCACCCATGTAAGTCTCGGACCACCACTACAGTGCACCCATGTAAGTCTCGGACCACCACTACAGTGCACCCATGTAAGTCTCGGACCACCATTACAGTGCACCCATGTAAGTCTCGGACCACCACTACAGTGCACCCATGTAAGTCTCGGACCACCACTACAGTGCACCCATGTAAGTCTCGGACCACCACTACAGTGCACCCATGTAAGTCTCGGACCACCACTACAGTGCACCCCATGTAAGTCTCGGACCACCACTACAGTGCACCCATGTAAGTCTCGGACCACCACTACAGTGCACCCATGTAAGTCTCGGACCACCACTACAGTGCACCCATGTAAGTCTCGGACCACCACTACAGTGCACCCATGTAAGTCTCGGACCACCACTACAGTGCACCCTATGTAAGTCTCGGACCACCACTACAGTGCACCCTATGTAAGTCTCGGACCACCACTACAGTGCACCCATGTAAGTCTCGGACCACCACTACAGTGCACCCATGTAAGTCTCGGACCACCACTACAGTGCACCCATGTAAGTCTCGGACCACCACTACAGTGCACCCATGTAAGTCTCGGACCACCACTACAGTGCACCCATGTAAGTCTCGGACCACCACTACAGTGCACCCATGTAAGTCTCGGACCACCACTACAGTGCACCCATGTAAGTCTCGGACCACCACTACAGTGCACCCATGTAAGTCTCGGACCACCACTACAGTGCACCCATGTAAGTCTCGGACCACCACTACAGTGCACCCATGTAAGTCTCGGACCACCACTACAGTGCACCCATGTAAGTCTCGGACCACCACTACAGTGCACCCATGTAAGTCTCGGACCACCACTACAGTGCACCCATGTAAGTCTCGGACCACCACTACAGTGCACCCATGTAAGTCTCGGACCACCACTACAGTGCACCCATGTAAGTCTCGGACCACCACTACAGTGCACCCATGTAAGTCTCGGACCACCACTACAGTGCACCCATGTAAGTCTCGGACCACCACTACAGTGCACCCATGTAAGTCTCGGACCACCACTACAGTGCACCCATGTAAGTCTCGGACCACCACTACAGTGCACCCATGTAAGTCTCGGACCACCACTACAGTGCACCCATGTAAGTCTCGGACCACCACTACAGTGCACCCATGTAAGTCTCGGACCACCACTACAGTGCACCCATGTAAGTCTCGGACCACCACTACAGTGCACCCATGTAAGTCTCGGACCACCACTACAGTGCACCCATGTAAGTCTCGGACCACCACTACAGTGCACCCATGTAAGTCTCGGACCACCACTACAGTGCACCCATGTAAGTCTCGGACCACCACTACAGTGCACCCATGTAAGTCTCGGACCACCACTACAGTGCACCCATGTAAGTCTCGGACCACCACTACAGTGCACCCATGTAAGTCTCGGACCACCACTACAGTGCACCCTATGTAAGTCTCGGACCACCACTACAGTGCACCCATGTAAGTCTCGGACCACCACTACAGTGCACCCATGTAAGTCTCGGACCACCACTACAGTGCACCCATGTAAGTCTCGGACCACCACTACAGTGCACCCCATGTAAGTCTCGGACCACCACTACAGTGCACCCATGTAAGTCTCGGACCACCACTACAGTGCACCCATGTAAGTCTCGGACCACCACTACAGTGCACCCATGTAAGTCTCGGACCACCACTACAGTGCACCCATGTAAGTCTCGGACCACCACTACAGTGCACCCATGTAAGTCTCGGACCACCACTACAGTGCACCCATGTAAGTCTCGGACCACCACTACAGTGCACCCATGTAAGTCTCGGACCACCACTACAGTGCACCCATGTAAGTCTCGGACCACCACTACAGTGCACCCATGTAAGTCTCGGACCACCACTACAGTGCACCCTACATGTAAGTCTCGGACCACCACTACAGTGCACCCATGTAAGTCTCGGACCACCACTACAGTGCACCCATGTAAGTCTCTGATTAGTTCTCTTGGCTCCTTTAAAGCCCCAAATCAATCAAATAAATCATTAGCTGTAAGATTTTTATGTTAGATAGTTCAGGTTGTAAGCTATAAGTGATACGTATGATCATGTATATTCATCCAGCTATAGTCAACACGGCTCATTTTAGTGTAATCTGTTCCATCTGCTAGAAAACAAGTACAATAAACTATATTTATAATGTACTGATATAACAATATTTTTTTGGTCCCAGCCATTTGCTCTATATTTTTGTTGAAATGCATAGAATAAATTATAGTTGTAGCATACTAAGATTAGTGGTCCCCCAGAGTTCGTTATGACCGACGACTGTTATACTGTTATAGTTGTAGCTGTGTCTATGACCGTTACTGTTATCGCTGTGTTTATAGTTGTAGCATTAGCCCCAGTTTGAAAACTGTTATACGCATACTGATGAATTTCACTTTAAACAAAAAAAAATAAATCATATAAAGTGACTTCTTTGATGGGCATTTTAAAAGTTGAGTTGATGAAGAATAATGACAATTATTATGGATATACAACTTCTTTTATTCTGTGGAAGCTGACGTTTAGACATAGGTTCTAATGCTTGACAGCGACATTAGAACCTAAAAGAAGTTGTATATACATATTAATTGTCATTATTCTTCATATAAAGTGAAATTAAGATTGCGAATTGGTTTGTATTACAAGGGGGTATGCACATTTAATGAAACACAGAGAACAGGTAGGGTCTAAGTTAACGCTGGTCACATGCCGCAAGTGCATGTGTTTCACTGTTCCAACTACTGCTCTTTCACTACCCCCTTGTAATACAAACCAATAATAGTGATTGAATCTATGATCATTGTTAAACAACTTTTATCCTAAGTTGAATTCTGAGATTTAAATGTTCAATTGACAAGGTAAGATTAAGAGGATTCGCAATCTTAATTTCACTCTTTTGTTTTTTACTTTTTGTTTAAAGTGAAATTCATCAGTACGTTTTCACTGCAAACGCACTATACTAGTTCTTCCAGATTTCCCAAGTCTTTTACAAATGCAATAGAAGCTGTGTATTAATTACCCAGTAACACTATGGTCATCAAATGTCAAACCATTGTCTAATCTGCTTACAGACTATCAGAGCGACTTTTGAAGCTGAACTCGACAACATGGCGTCGACCGCCTTCTTCTCACAATGGCGGTCAGTGCAGTCGATGACATGCTGGCTCCAATCTATGAGATAGCAGAGTTGGCCAAGTAGGTGGCAATATGTGTGCATTACAACAATTACTTGGCCTTATATACAGGTAGCCAAGATATCTGAGGTGGCACAATTGGCTGGTATGGGTTATATCAGTAAGGTGTGCTAGATCTTGGGTTCACCCTCTGATTTTTTTGGTTTGTTAGCATTGTACCTGTGTTAACACTGGTTCCCACTGTACTGGCAGTTACAAGCACCTCAGTTGGTTAGAAAATTGTTTGAGGGAGCCTAATGAAAGTTCGAACAAGAAGTAATATTCACTCACTCGCTCACTCACTCACTCACTCACTCACTTGATCACTCTCACTCACTCACTCGATCACTCACTAACTCACTTGATCACTCACTCACTCCTGATCACTCACTGATCACTCACTCACTCGATCACTCACTCACTCACTCACTTGATCACTCACTCACTCACTCCTTCACTCACTTCTCTATTGATGGAGTAGCCTGACAAACCATATACATATGTATAAAGAACAGCGATACTGCAACTTTCTATTGATGGAGTAGCCTGACAAACCATATACATGAGATGTATAAATGAACAGCAAACATACTGCAACCACAGGTAACAGACAGATTTTTTATCAAAGTAAAAGATCTCATTTCAATGAGATTGATTATAAATTTAATGAGATGCTGACATAAATAAACGCATGTGAAAAGTGTTAGATCAAACATCATAATGCTTCTGTTTACGAGAAACTGTCCATTTCAGAATTATCTGGGAAATTTTAAGATTGGATTAAAAAAGAAATCATTCATTTGGTGAATATGGTGATACCTGTTGGCCAACACTTAACATATATCTTCCTGCAGATGTGTGGACTTCGTTAACGTGATGACCTATGACCTCCACTTCTACAACAAACTCATCCCTCTAACAGGCCACAACAGCCCACTGTTCCACGGGGATGAAGTCTTGGATGAAACAGTTTTCAAAAATAAGACGTTTGTAAGTTTCAAGCCAGTCAGTGTTGAAACCCTGTGGGTTGGAACTGATGCTCTGCAACCAGTCTTGTCATATATTGGACTTATGAGATCAGGTGGTCAGGGTCGCTGACTTTTGTGGATGCATGTCGTATCCTAAAGCATGGAGGGGCGGTGGGGTACCCTCGTGGTTAAAGCATTCGCTCATCACCACATGGTTACAATGTGTGAAGCCCATTTCTGGTGTCGCTCGCCGTGATATTGCTGGAATATTGCTAAAAGCGGCGTAAAACTAAACTCACTAAATGCATGGAACCTGTGCAGATCCTAGTTAGAATTCATCTTCAGGAACCAATGCTTGTTGTAACCGGTGACTGTGGCGGTCAGACTCACTCATTTGGTTGACACACATCATCATCCAGGGGCGTAGCTACCATTATAAGAAATAGCCCGGGCTTACACATGATTTCTGCTAGAAAGGATGGACAAGCCCTCAATACTATCTAAATATATAGCGTTGCAACCTATGGGCTTATACGTAAAAACTGGCTTGCTATGCGCCTGTCATCGTATTCCAGTCACTTAAATCCTCATATTGTCAATTGCTGGATTGTCTGGTCTATAGTCGATTATCTACAACATGTAGCTGGAATATTGTTGAGTGCATCGTTAATTACAAACAAACAAAACAAAATTGCTTGGATCAGTGGTCACTTTGTCAATCAGTTATCTTGTCCAAATTTCATTATTTATTTGTTGTCAAACAGTGAGTGAGTGAGTTTAGTTTTACGCCACACTCAACAATATTCCAGCTATATGGCGGCAGTTTGTAAATAATCCAGTCTGGACCAGACAATCCAGTGATCAGCATCATGAGCATCGATCTAAGCGAGTGGGATACGATGACATGTGTCAACCAAGTCAGTGTGCCTGACCACTCGATCCCATTAGTAACATGGGTTACTGAAGACCAATTCTAACGGATCTTCACGGGTCTATTGTCAAATAGCTGCAGTGGTGCTGAATGTGGCATTAAAGAGGAAACAAAACATATTGTTGAAAAACAGAATGTAAGTCATTGTTAAAATAACATATATGTAATAAAAATTATATCTATAATGAACTTCTGTAGTGATCTGCACATATTTGGTTATCATATGTATTCCATGAGCATTGATAAATACTTTGATAAATAACCTGATAATTAGTGGAACACTATTGTATCAAGCTGTGATGTGCAACCTGAATCTTTTGATCAGAGCTGTAACTGCCATTAAGAATATATATTTAACATTGAAGGAAATCAGCTTTTTATTTATTATCTTTGCTGCGCCTATTTTGACCAACAAATTCAAGAAAAATCACAGCATGCATCAGCTCCAAACAAGTAATCTGAATTTAACAAACCAAAAATGTGAAACAGAACAATCCCACCTATCAACCTAATCATTGTTACCTAAAACACATGTCTTTCTGTTGCTGTCACACCACAGTCAGGTGTGTTGTGTATGTTTCAGTCGTGGGCGGCGACGGCCTGGGTGCGAGGGGGCATGAGGAAGGACCAGGTGATGACCGGCATCCCTACATATGCTCATACCTTTAACCTGTTGTTTGAAGAATGGCACGATGTTTATGCCCTTGCCACAGGAGTCGGGAAGATTGGTGATTTCCTGAATTATGATAATGTAAGTCTTTATGACCGGATTGGAATTTAAACTACCTTGACCTGTACCATGCCCTTTCTCTGCATGTATGTGTCTCTGTATCTGTCCATGTGTCCATGACTTTAATCAATGCCTTTATTTTACGATGCCATTGGAAGTCACTCAACCCATCAACCAGGTACATTAATTGTCCCATTTGAAACCTCATATTGAGTTGAAGACAAGTTTTAACCCAAAATACCTCTGTTCTGCTGGAATATTGCTAAAAGCAGCATAAAACCAAACTCACTCACTCACTCTTGTTCTAAGTTTAGCAGAGTGTGGAATCCTCCCTACCATGTCAGCTTGATGATGAAGCTAAACTCATTGGTCATGTGGACAAGGTGCCTGACTTCAGTCAGATCGTCTGTGGTTTGAATCGTCTCATGTTTTGGCATATTGTGGTCTTTTTTACTCAGGGGTGGAAATAACTTTGAAATTGCTAGCGTACTCTGTGGCACATGTACAATCATGATAATTTCTCCACTATACCGGCCGATTTTCTTGGTGATTATTTAAATATACAACATGATGAACATTGGCAAGTCAACTAGACACTGGTACAGCTTGATATACACATTTTCTTGCCCGACAGAAAATAACACTGGACTGGAAAGTAGGGCAATGGGTTATTTCCACCCCTGTTACTGTTATCGTCTTTCTCACCAACCTGATTTAGGACCAACCATGGCTACACATCTCTCTTCCCCTTTGTTAACCCATAGTACTTACACCAAAATTTTATACGAAGCAGATCACATTGCTTAGTCTGTTTCTTGAGTTTGAAATGTTTGCTGCTTCAGGTTTGTCAACTCATAAAGAATAACAGTACAACTGTAGTCTGGGATGACAAGAGTAAGGTCCCCTACCTGTACCAGGGGACGCTGTGGGTGTCTTACGACAACGTTCGTAGCGTGACACTTAAGGTAGGCCATGTGATCTGATGATGATGATGATGATGATGATGATGATGATGATATTTATATAGTGAACATATCCACGCAACTAGTACATGCTCAAGGCACTTGAGTGTTCCCTTGATCAGCGGATGTCTTTTTTTCTGGCATTCTTTTAACCATCTCAACTCCCTGGGGAGTATTCAACTCATGCAGTTTGTTAGGCGTAGCGAGTTATCACACAGCCTCATCCTCACAAGGTACCCATTTGCAGCTGGGTGAACTGGGACACATAGTCACAGTATTTTGTCCAATGATACTGCATGTTACTATACCTGCAACTAGGTGTCTGCACGTGTTTGTGTGTCCACCATCTGGTCAGGATAAGGGGCTTCTTTTAAGTGCACAGGGTTGTGTACTGTACACTAGGGGTTGTGACAACACTGAAAGAGCCTGCAAGTAATGTTAGCTCCAAGGTTTTTACACCCGGTCACAAGTGGGGATTGATCCAGGGACCTTTCGCCTACTAGCGGCACCGTAGACAGCTCGACCACCGTGCCCCGATAACCATTATTATTATAGGATATTTATATAGCGCACATATCCACGCACTAGTGCATGCTCAAGGCGCTGGTATTTTTTCCCTCGATCATTGGATGTCAATCTCAACGGCACATCGCATTATCAATCTCAACTCCCTGGGGAGTATACAACTCTTGCAGCCACTAGGCGCACCGAGTTATTGTGGCATTCTCATCCTAATGAGGTACCATGCTAAGAGGTGATCTGTCACCTCTTCTAGATAAAGTTATTTTTGTCTAAAACCAAAGCAGGGGAGCATGGTTAGGCGAGTCCTCCAAGGACTGGTTTCACTGTATTTCTGCCTGAATTTCGGTAATATTCATCAAAGCATCATATGCTGAATGAAATATATAAAAGCCAGGTAGGATAATGGTCAACACTTGTATATTCATTTTGACAGTGATGTGGTAACTGGTGATTGTCAAGATAAATCAACATGGTCAAAACAGTTTTAGAAATTATTCTGTTACTGTTTCACTGAATTTAATAAACAATACATCAACTGCGGCCTTACTTAATATACGTTACCCAGCAGTGGTGATATGTGTCATATTCACCTTATTGAGGGTTTATTGCGGCCGTACTCACAATTATTGTTTATACTTTCAGGAATTATATGTGTCTATATTCACAACCCCTTGTATGGGGTATAATTACTATTGGGATATAATGTGTATATGTTGTATAAAGGTTATATAATGACTATTAAGATAGACATGTGTATATTCACCATGTGGGTTATAAATACCCTCAGGATATATTTGTTGGTGTGTACAATAAACATAGCATAACTTATAGTGATTATCAGGAAGCTTTTGTTGGTGCATGTATAACCACCATATGGGTTATAATATATGATATACCGACTCTCATGCAATGTTCTATATATGGAATGGTGTACCATATATTACCGTCTATAAGCCGAATTTTGAGGACCAAAAAAAGCAGTCTGTAGAAGGGGGTCGTCTTATCCATGGGTTACGCTTCCAGGGGTAAGAAAACAACATCGTATCACTTCGCGTGAACAAACAACAGAAGACAACTTTGTCAGTAGAGACGTCAAATTTGCAATTAAACATCACTAGACAAGATTATTTACCTTTTAAGTTCTAAGTTGTTTTTGCTGGGCATTGTATTATTTGCAGGGATTAAGATCCTCCATTTCTGTGTTCCAGACTCAGTATCTTCTTCAGCAGGGGTTCGGAGGGGCCATGGTCTACTCACTCAACTGTGATGATTACAAAGGAACCTGTGACGGGAAGACAACGTGGCCGCTGTTCAAAGCTATCACTGCTGCTATAAAAGACTTCCAGAAAGATAGGACATAGATTATTATAGCTGACTTCATCGCCAAAGTGCTCTGTTATCTATGTCATATGGAAAAACATAAACATGCCTTGTGGTAAACATTTGAAGTTCAATTTTATCGTTTTTAACTCAGGGATGAACACACTTCTTCTATGCTATCATTCTTTAATATTCTGGAAGGAGAACACCTCATCTTTAGACCATGATGTACAGTTGTTACCTCCTGCTGCCGAGACTGAGAATTAGAAACATCTTGTTTCGACCACTTATTTTATTTTTCCACATTTGCCAACATGCTGTGTTTTGAGTGAACATATGTATTAAAGAAGCATCTTTTTTTGATAATATTTTAAAATTAGTACAAGAGGTTTTAGGGACCTGTTTCATGCCTTGTAATTAAGCTCATTCACTATAAGCCGTTTTCTTTAATGTTGAAAGATCCGGGTTAGAACTGATCTTCAGTAACCCATGCTTGTCAGATACTGATAATTTGAACTACCTAATATACCTTATCTGCCTTGATATTGAAATATATTTTGGATTTTATGATAGTATTGAAACGTTACATTCCTGAATTATTTTTGTTACAGTGAAGTGAAAGATTGTTGGGCATTCTTAGGGCAATATATATGTACATGTATATATGGGTATCAAGTATTCGCCATTTATGATGACTTCTTCTTATAGTACCAGTTATTGTTGCTCTAAGATTTTCTAAGATTTTGTATGTTTTGATGTGTGATCTTTCAATACAATATATCATATAACAACTGAATCTGTCTAATGTTCTTTCATCCTCAACTCCTCCAGTCTGTTAGGGGGGCGGTGGGGTAGCCTAATGGTTAAAGCGTTGGCTTGTCATGCCGAAGACCCGGGTTCGAATCCCCACATGGGCACAATGTGTGAAGCCCATTTCTGGTGTCCCCCACCGTGATGTAGCTGGAATATTGCTAAAAGCAGGGTAAAACCAAACTCAGTCAGTCCAGTCTGTTAGGCTATCAGCTGTGGAGATTCCAGTGTAGACTAGGTCCAGCAATAAGAGGCGACAAACAGATCGAGTAATCAGGCTCACTGACTTGGTCAATGCATATCATTGTATTCCAATTGCGTTGATGATGCTTATGATGTGAGTCACTGGATTGTCTGGGCCAGTTTTAGTAATTAACAGGCTTCTGTAGGTAGAATGTTGCTGAGTACAGCATTAAACTAAACAAAAAAATTACATAAATGCGGGACCTATTTACTTCCACACCTTCATTTCAGACATGATGTCACTGTCTCCATTCCTTATCAATGGACCCATGAAAATCTGGGTTAGAATTGATCTGCAGTAACCTATGCTTGTCATAAGAGGCGACTAATGGGATTGGGTGGTCAGGCTGTTGACACATGTCATCGTATCCCATTTACGTAGATCGATGCTCATGATGTCGATCACTAGGTTGTCTGGTCCAAACTCGATAATGTATACCTGGAATATTGCTGAGTGCGGTGTAAAACTAAACTCACTCACTCCTTGAGACCTCACTTAGCAAAGAGTTGCCTTGCTAATGTGCTGGAAAGCAACATACAGTCAAAACGCCACTGACAAAATAGCCTGGAATACCGAGGATGATCCATCTATTTTGTCAGGTTGGCCATCTAAAGAGGCCCTGGTACAGAATGTCTTTAACCCTTTCTAATGGGCTAGAAGTGTCATGTTATTATTAGAACTTCACATTTACGAGCAAATCTGAGTACTTTTTTTGGCTGGGTCACATCCAGTGTTCCGATCCACATTCTCAGAGTGAAGCACCTAATCTCAAGCACACAAAGTCAGCGATCTAACCCCCTCAGCCACCAAATAGCTGTGCTCTAACCTATACTGAATGCTAAGCCCATGGATGAAACGTGATGCTATCCTTTCAAGATGCAAGTCTAGATAAGCGGACAGTACAAGACGCCATTTTGTTATTTATATTTTTTTCGAAATTTTCAGTTAATCTATTAATTATTATCTTAGAGACTTGTGCAAGTCTAGCAGCCTGGCTTTCTCAAAGTGGAAGTCGGCAGTAAATTGACACGGTTCCCATGACCGAAAGCATGCGCAATGTCTTTTAGAAAGTGTACAAGAATCTATACTTAACTGAGAAAACGTAATCCAAAATACAACATATGTTACATATACTCACTTTCTAAAGGGCGGTGGGGTGGCCTAGTGGTTAAAACGTTGGCTCGTCACGCGGAAGACCCGGGTTCGATTCCCCACATGGGCACAATGAGTTAAGCCCATTTCTGGTGTCCCCCGCCGTGATATTGCTGGAATATTGCTAAAAGCGGCGTAAAACTAAACTCAGTCAGTCAGTCACTTTCTAAAAGGCGTATATATTCAGTGAAACAACATACAATCAAAATGCCTCAAGCATAATGCCCTCCATTATCGAGGATGATGCAAGAATTTTGTCCAGTTGCTCAACCCAGAACTCCGTGGTAGCCCTGTGGTTAAAATGTTGGCACAGTAGAGACGTGGTTTTGGTCTTGCATGGTTGAAGCCAATTTGGGTTTTCACTGTCATCCACCAATGTTTGATAATGAGCGTGAACGGACCATGGCTGGTTCACAAAATCAAGACGCAATATCGAGTGAGTTTTAGTTTTACACCGCTTTTAGCAGTGTTCCAGCAATGTCAATATCAATATTCTTTATTTCGGTACAATGGTGTGGGCCACCAACCCTGTGTACAACATGGTCCAGTGATACATTACAAAGTACTTATACAATTACAAGTACATCAAGGCGGAGATTTAGGGCATGGAGGACAAACATACATATCAATATCCAGTGAAACCTATACAAGTGTATCAATGCATGGAAAGTATAACAGTCCATATACGGATATACAATAGATTTTACGAAGTACTTATACAAGTGTATCAAGGCATGGAAGATATAGCAGTCCATGTACAGTGTTATATAATTTGTCAAGGTACAAAATTATACAAGAGCTTTAAAGTGGGGATTAGTGGCGTGGAAAATATAACAGTCCATACACAGTGATGCATAATTTTACAGGGTACTATACAAGTGTATCAAGGCATGGAAGATATAGCAGTCCATGTACAGTGTTATATAATTTGTCAAGGTACAAAATTATACAAGAGCTTTAAAGTGGGGATTAGTGGCGTGGAAAATATAGCAGTCCATACACAGTGATGCATAATTTTACAAGGTACTATACAAGTGTATCAAGGCATGGAAGATATAGCAGTCCATGTACAGTGATATATAATTTGTCAAGGTACTTATACAAGAGCTATAAAGTGTATCTAGGCATGGATTAGTGGCGTGGAAAATATAGCAGTCCATACACAGTGATGCATAATTTTACAGGGTACTATACAAGTGTATCAAGGCATGGAAGTTATAGCAGTCCATGTACAGTGTTATATAATTTGTCAAGGTACAAAATTATACAAGAGCTTTAAAGTGGGGATTAGTGGCGTGGAAAATATAGCAGTCCATACACAGTGATGCATAATTTTACAAGGTACTATACAAGTGTATCAAGGCATGGAAGATATAACAGGCCATATACAGAGTTATATAATTTTACAAGGTAATTATACAAGAGCTTTAAGGCGAAGGCATGGAGAATATAACAGTCCATATCGAGTGATACATAGTTTTGCAGAATGCAAATACAAGTACATCAAGGCATAGAAGATATGCTGACTGAGTTTGGTTTTACGCCGCTTTTAGCAATTTTCCAGCAAAGTCGCGGCGGGGGACACCAGAAAAGGGCTTCACACATTGTACCCATGTGGGGATTCGAACCCGGGTCTTCGGCGTGACGAGCCAACGCTTTAACCACTAGGCTACCCCACCACCCCCATAGAACATATGACGGTCCATATACAGTAATACATACAGCAATATCACGGACATCAAAAATGGGTTCAGCACACTGTACCCATGTGGGGAATCCAGCGAACGCTTTTGTGCAATTGTGATCTCAGTTTAAATGAGTGAGTGAGTGAGTTTAGTTTTACGCCGCTTTTAGCAATATTCCAGCAACATCACGGCGGGGGACTCCATAAATGGGCCACCAATAAGCTTCACACATTGTACCTATGTGGGGAATCGAACCTGGGTCTTAAGCATGACGAGCGAACGCATTAAGCATTAGGCTACCGTAGTGAATACGCTATAGTTTTTGTGGATAGTAACTACTTTATCGCTTGTACTTGAATAAGATGTAAAGGACACTACTGGGGATGTCTTAAAGCAGGAGCACGCTGGGCAGTTGACGGGGATTCCCTTGAACATATGGGACCGGTTTATTCCCGCTATGTCTGTATGCCAATGTTGTTTCAAGCATGAGGAACCCGTGAAGATCCGGGTTAGAATGGGTCTTCCAATGATTGTTGTAAGAGGCGACTAACGGGATCAGGCGGTCAGTCTCGCAGATTTGGTTGACACGTGTCATCGTATCCCAATGCCTACCTGCGCCTCCCTGGTGCTCAATGCCATATCCATTTGCAATATTTTTCAAAACACGATAAACAGTTGACAAAGGGATGCCTGTTCTACTTGAAATCACTTTAGCTGATCTGATGTCCTTGTTATAATACTCTAAAATCAACTTCCTCTTCTCTAAATCATCCATACTGAGGATCACTGAAAATGTCGTCTGCTAGCAAGTAAACAAAGGGGGGATAACTCTTCATAAACTAATGAAAAAGGATTAACGGAGTTGTCTCTCCTGAATGAAACCAAGCACTTGATAGCTGGTCAAGGTTGTTTATACTAGAAATCCCATTAAACATATTCCTCATATTCTAAATAATTTCTGGTCATACTATACTGTGGAATTGGGTAATGAGTGACTGAGTGGCCGATTGAGTGACATCGTACCCAATGGTGTGGCATGTCAACCAAGGTTTTCATGGTATCCCAATTGCATAGATTGATGCTCATGCTGTTGATCAATGGATTGTTTGGTCCAGACTCGATTATTTACAGACAGCCACCATATAGCTGGAATATTGCTGCGTGCGGTGTTAATTGACAAACAAAAAGCCAAACGCTTTCATGCAGTATTTCTTCACATATCTTGGTAAAATGATAGGTATGGTGGTTAATAAGTGCGTTTTCCACAAATATGTTTTCAAGTTTCCAAAACAACAGGAGAACATATACTGAAGACAGGGGTAGTGTTTATGTCTGGAGCAGATATTGAAAACAATGCTATTCTTTTTCACCAAACTTAGCAAGCAGATAGGTCTAGATGTAAACTAGCTTTTTTTGATGGTGTTGGACGTTTTACGGAAATATTTTGTTAGTTTCCTTGGCAACAGGTTTCATATATTTATTCACCACCAGTATTTAGAATGTTGATGCTGATGTATTATTTTCAGGTCCCTAATAATATAAGTTTGTAAAAAAGGAGCACTTGAGAACATAAGGAGCACTTGAAAAAAAATGGTTGTTTTGCGTTTAATGTTTTATTTTTATGTGAATATGAAAGTAAGTTTACTGGTGATCTATGGAAATTCCTTCTCTTCAGAAAACTGACTAAAAAGAAATCCTTCCAAGAATCACATATTCACTCTTGTACAATATTCAACCCAACATAATATTCATTGCATAATATAATTTACACCAACTGAATAAATTCCAAAGCCATGACTATTTTGGGACCAATTGAATTATTTCATGAATATTGTTTTATACCGATTGTTTAAAACATGTATGTAGTTGCCAATAAGTTTTATGTTAAAAGTATCAACAAAAAGA